CAACGGCTGCAAGATTCGGGCTTTTTTCTCAGGTCAAGTCAAATCTATCCTTGTGGAACATGAAATGGAGACTATTATGCCACGTACTTTTTATGTAACGGAGCAAGACTACACTTTCAGTACCAGATGGTTTTATGACGGAGAAGTTGTACACACCAAGATGAAGGGTAAGCAGTTCCCGATTATCAGCAATTCTGCGACAACTGGACACAAATTACAGGGATATACTGCAGTGTGGTTATTGGTACATTCATGGCGATACTGTCAAAACTGGGCTTACGTGGTGTTATCAAGGGTGCGAACCATGAGTGGTTTGTTCTTATTGAAGAAGCTGGATTGGGATCCAAAGAACTTTGCCATGCCACAACGAATGAGAGACATGCTTGCAAGATTTAAGGATACTATTGGGCTTTCTGTCCTAGGAGAAGATCAATACGATGAAATGTTCCAGCGAGAAGACGGGTTCTTGTTATAAGTATAAACGGTAGGGATATAGGGTAAATTAATCTGTATATAAAAACTTTTATTACTACAACTACCTTTCTGAGATTCGCATTGCACCTCGTACGTCATTCAATGTCAGTCATTGAAAAAAGATCAAGCGTCCAATCAAATCACAGGCGACCCCGAAAAATTAGGAGCCAACTTTTAAAATGTGAAGAACGCAAGGCGACTTTCATGTGCATGTACATGCGTTGACTGTATCCCGTCAATACAATACTAGTCGAATACGTAGACTTCTACAGGGCCTTCTAAGTAATGCGCGCCGGGTATAATTCAAACCTCTGCCCCCATCGGTACCATTACCCCTAAAGCAAATCGTCTCCAGGAGACGAAATAAGTAACCAATCGGAAACCTTCTGTATATCATGCCTTATTGTCACGGGTAACGGACGGGGCTCAATGTTGAGCCGGAACATAAAGGAACAGTACTAGTATCTGATGAAAAGTTTACCAAAATTAATTCGACTCTTAACATTGCCTGGAGCGTTCCTCAATCGTGCATAACTTTGAATCCGTCCCCAATTTAGGGTCGGTTTGGGGGAATCCGTCCCTAAATATAGGGACGATTTCAAAACCCGACCCTAAAACGAAACCCGACCCTAAATTAGGGACGGATTTTCAGAAACCGTCCCTATTTTTTAGAAACCGTCCCTATTTTTAGGGTCGGTTTTCAAACCAGACCCTAATATTGGTGCGTTTTCAATGAATTCACCATTCAGTCCCGTTTCTATTTAGGGACGTTTTTCAAACCCGACCCTAAATCGAAACCCGACCCTAAATTAGGGACGGTTTTTCAGAAACCGTCCCTATTTTTCAGAAACCGTCCCTATTTTTAGGGTCGGTTTCGAAACCCGACCCTAAAGGGAATCCGACCCTAAATCCGACCCTATTTTAGGGTTGGTTTCATGCACGATTGAGGAACGCTCCTGATGTTGGATAAGTTTGTTGATCTCACAGAAGTTTTTGTCTTTTATTAAAATTGGGATTATCGATTGGGATTTCTGACCAAGCCTTTAGGTCTTTGGGTCGTCGTACAGTACAGTACTGTATGACGACTGCAAAGTACAGTATTCAGTATCTATCAATAGTATTAACTACTCTCTAGCTAGAGTACCATAAATTACCATGTTGGCAGTGCGATGAAGCGGTACATGCAGCACTATGACCATACATTAGGAGATAACGCTCTCTTGTGTTATTAAATCCTTTTCTGTTGCATCACCAGTGTATTCGCGAGCCTTTCCCTGTCAACAAAGCCAAGTCCCGCCACAAATCTCTAAATGAATTTTCTGCTGCCAGCCAGCGAGCTCGCTGCCGAATGCTCTGCGCCATCTCACACTCTTGATTTGTAAAAGGAAGAAAGTGACAACGGTTCCCCACAGTACTGGGCCTCATTCTCAGATAGATACCCCACATACGACCCACTTGATGACAACCAGGACGACCGCTGCTGTGGAGGTTGGCTTGAACTTCCAGTAGCTAGTTGAGGACAATAGGAAGGAACTGAACAAACAGACTTATAGCTGGGGTGGATTCCCAAAACAATTTACAATGGCGTCTTACATGTACAACCCCTCCAAGACGGTGACAGAGATCATGTCCAAGTACTTGGAGTTTGATCCCGAGCAGCTACAACTCGGAATATGGTCAGGAGACTTGGTGCTGACCAATGTGAATCTGCGTGGCGACGCTCTTTACTCCAAGATCAATCGCATGAAGAAGTCGCCTTCGGGACGAGATCCCCTCAAGCTCAAAATAGTCGAGGGTACCATTGGCCAACTGAGGATTCAAATTCCCTGGAAACGACTAGTGTGGGGACAAGGAGATGTCGTCATTGACATCAAGGGGGTGAACGTTGTGGTGGGGTTTGAAAGTAGAGAAGAAACGGAAGCAAAACAGAAAGCCACTGAAGCAGCCGAAGACAAGAAAGCCAAGAAGCAAAAGGACGAAAAGGCTGATGAAGAAACAGTGCAGTACTCCAAAGAGTTCAGAGATGCCAAACAAAGGATTCTGGCCGCAGCAGAGCAACGCCTGATGAAGGGACAACAACTTTCAGCATGGCTGACACACATGATCAAGAAGGAACTCAATGTAGACAACGACAAGAACAAAGTGGTGGGACCCAAAAAGCCCAAGGGATTTGATAAGTGGATGAAGAAGGCATCATCCAACTTTGTTTGGAGGTTTCTCTCGGGCTTGTGCTTGAACATTGAGGGATTCAAACTGACTGTTGTTCAGGACAATATTGAAATGGGGATCATCATGCCCAATACACACATTCATTCTGGAAAGATGGGGTCTTCCCAAGGGCCAAAAGTCGACAATCCTGATGATGGCAAATCGTTCGACAGAGAACCGGAACCAGGTGAAGTGGAAGATGGCGACAACATTGACAAAAGCATAAATGCTCTCGGGGTGTCCGTATTCGTAAGACGACAAATCATATACCCCAATGAACCTTTATCCCAGGCATTACTACTTCCAGATGACTACGTCTTGAGACCCATTGACATGGGATGTTCTCTATCTTTCTTCTACCCTCATGAGGAACAATCTAAAAAGCGAAAGACTGCAAATGGGACAGCCGCAGGAGTATCAGATGGGATATCAATGGCAGACAGCACAGACGGATCATCCAAACGAAGAAGAGGAAAGAGGGATAAACGACCTCGACCAGGGAGTTTTGATGGGACCGCCGAAACCGACGTTGTCAGCTCATTTGGACCTGATTCAACGGGATTACAGCGACAAAGAAGCCAATACTCCTCGTACACAGAAGCAATGCGACGAGCCCCGTCAAGACCAAACCTCTCCAATCAACGCCCGTCGTCTCAAATCGGTAGTCGACTTTTGACGCCTCCGCAACTTCAAAGGAGAGTCACTTCTTCCGGAAGATCAGCCCCTCTCGTTCGACCCGATGATCTGAGTTCTGTTTACAAATCTGCCATGGCGGAAAGCAAACAAGTGACACCCAAATTGGACATGCAAATGAACTGTGGCGAAATCAAATTTATTTGCTCCAAAAAGCATCTTGATATCATACACAACTTTTTTGCAGTGGGGGCGAGAATGCGAAATGGAAGACCAACCTGTACAATAACGGAAGTGTTGGCAAAAGGTGGAGAAAAGGGGATGGGGAAGAGGAATCCATTTGCTTCTGGAGCTAGTGTCGAAGAGTTGCTGCCGGGTCCTTCTCCATATCGACGCACGCAGACAGATGCGTCTTCCGGACTAAATTTCATCAGAAGCGACATAGCTTCGAGGAGGCTCAGCTTGGGCATTCGAAACGAACTTGCCGCCAAGGCGAGAACCCGCCGCAGTCAGGTAATCCGATCATGGTGGCATTACGCATACGGTGTCGTCGCGTATGAAATTCAAAAGCGAAAGCGCAGACGCGACAATTTCAAAGAAAAATACGTGTCATTTGACTGGGACCGACAAAAACGAAAGCGCGAGGAATACATCAACTTGTACATGAGCCTTCACTTGAAAGTTGGCGAACACGTCGACTGCGACGCCAGCGTGCCGGACCCATGGGCGCAAGATATCTTGAAAATCGAAGATGAACTTCCAATTGAACAGATCTTGCTATATCGATCCATTGCACGAGCCCTAGAGGTGCACGGACTGCGGTCCATGCCGTCTTCGGTGGAAGTGCTGTACTCCGATTATGCATCAATCTTGTCAGAACATCGCGCCTCTACTGTCATGTCAGCGACAGATGTTGACATAAATATCAACACAGGGCTCAATCTGCAAGGTATGAATGAGTTCACTCCACACCGCATAGCGATGGACGAGGTAGACGACGAGAATCTCGTTTCCGTTCTAGGCAAGCGATGTAATGACGGTCGTTTGTACCGCTCCTACCTTGTTGGCGACGATGTTCAGCTGTTTGAAGAAGAACGGGCCAATCTTCCACAAAGGCATGGAATGCACATGAGCCATGACGATCAGGACGACCAGGACAGAGCCTCCAGACCCGACAATTATCGTGCTGCAAGTATGGGATTTGGGACAGCTCATAGCAGTGACCATCCTCTCAGTGAAATTCGCGAAGACCTGGGGGGCTCAAAAGTCAGTTTTCAGTATGATTATTCAGAAGACATGGAAGAAGCGCCCCGAAAGACTGCAACAACTCGAAGAAATCGCCGAAGAGAGGGTTCCGATGGTCGAACTGTGCGGACTATGAAAACAACAAAAACGCGTTCGACGATGGCAGGCACAGTGTTTGAGAATATGTCCATAAGTGAGCCAACGTCGACTGGTGCCAAAATATCCTTCGCTTTCTTTTTCAAGAGCGTTGAGGTGATGCTCGTGTCAGATGAAGGATCGAACCCTGCTCCATTCCAAAGGACAACATCATATTTAAGCCACGACGACCCAAGCACTAGAAGTAGCGATGACGTTTCAGACTTGTCCTTCCTCTCAGAAGAAGACTTCTTCATGGAGCAGGAATCCGCACCGGCTGCTGTTGTTGAAGAAGAACACACAGACAACCCAATGCTGTCATCAACGGATTTTCTGCTTTTTGGGCTGCCTAAGAACATGCTTTTGCATGTGACTTTGTCGCCTTTGCGATGCACCATTCTAGGCCGAAGCGGCGGATCGAAGAACGTTAATTTTTCCGTTGGCACAATCACAGCATCGGGATCGGGACGAGACAACTTAATTGCTATTGGAAGCAGAGCGTCGCCAAAACCAGTCCCTGTGGTCAATTTGACGAAGAGAGACCGCAGCTCGACCCGTGACGGTGGACTGCGCTTCAGCACGCATGCCCCTACTGCTCCCAAAGAAGCAATGACGATCTCCGTCGTGTTGAGCAAAGGCCACAGGGTCTTACAGGCAGATGTGGCCAAAGTTCACGTCTGCCTTGATGTTCCTCTTTTGATAAAGCTGGTGAAGTTTCCATCGACGTCCGATGAAGGGAACCCACGTCGGACGCTGCCAAAGTCTGAGCGAGAAGAAGCTCGGCTGTTCATTCTACGGGAGAATCCCCCATCAAAACTTGCAGAAATGAACTCTTCAATCAGAGTTCATGGCATCGATCTGTCAATTCCAGTTGACGCCATGGCGGCGGCAGAAGCAGAAGTGGAGTCAAGTGCCTCTTCATACTCGGGAAGCTTTGAACGGCCCGAGAGTCGCTCCCCTTCTGCGAGGATCACCGCTGGCATTGTCGAACTGTACAGTGGAAGCGCAGTCAGCGACTTATGCGGTAATGAGAGCGGAGCGCAGGTTGGCTCGTTGGCAATGCTCGACTTGGACGAATTGGTCGAAAAGGGGACCCTTTCATCGCAGCATTGTGTAAGTGCTTATATCGTAGCATACGTATATATGCAGTCGTCAACACCCAACCAGCAACGCCTCACCCCATGATTCTGTTTGTCATTGCATCAGGTCGTTGCGGTATCTGGTATCGATTGTGCGCTGCAAACTGAAACCGACGCGTTTGCTTTCTCAGAGGCGCCGTCGCTGCTAGCGGAACCAGTCGACATAGAAATGCTTTTCACAAACAGTGGTAGTACCATTCTAGACGAAGACAGCCCAAGGCAAGAGATTGCGCTGGAAGTATCTCCCATTCATATACTGCTATCAGAGACCAGGTTGCTCTTCTGCAACCGTGTGCTGCAACCGTTAAGAGTCAAGGGTGATCGCAAACCGCCGAGTGTGGAACCCACATCAACGCCTCCTCGGCTCGAGGCGCTTTCGCGGCTTATTATGAGGTGTGTTGACGTGTCAATCCGAAGTTTAAAGATCTCGATAATGAGCGACGAACAGAAGTATCCTTTGACACCGGGCCAGAAAGCGATAATAATGGAAGAATGCCTTGGGGACTTTCTCTCAATTGCCTCCTGTTTTGACCTGAATTTCCCAAATGAAGATGCACTGTCATCGAGCATGCAAATCTGCATCGACCGTTTGTGTGGCATTGGGCTGTACGCGGAAGATGCCTGGGACTGCACTAACTCGGCCCTTCTCAGTTTTTACGAGGATGATGCACACATTCCACCACCGCCGCAACCACCGGCAACCGAAAGTATGGACGAGACCGACAAGTCTGCTGCGTCGGAGTTGCAATCTGATCGCATGAAGGGAACATCTGAATCTGATCGCATGAGGGGAGATCTGGAATCTGAACGCATGAGGGATGCATCCGAATTTCAATCTGAACGCATGACGGAACCCGAGCCATTCGACAAATCGAAGGCTGTAGACAAGGCAATACGGAATGCTGTGACAAGAGCGCTTCACGACTTTACGCCCCCCGACGATGAAATTGACCCAATTCGGCAACCATTGAACACATTGTTGGTTGTCGACCTCCCCAAAGGTGCTCAGGTCTCGACAATACACCTATTCTATGACTTCCACCTTTCTGCAAGTCTCCAAAACTTGTTTGTTACAAACACGGCTGGAGTCCGCCTTCTTAGGATTGCGCCAATCGAGCATCACGACGATCAAGCGCAAGATCAAGGGTCGTCGGAGGGAGAGGTTGACAACAGTTCAAGCAGCGAGCCTGCGCTGTCATTCTCTCGATTTGAGTTGGACGCAGCTTATGGCTTTGGAAAAGGGGGACTTCCATTGGACATTCTCGGCTCGGATGAAACTCACGCCGACGATGAATTTTTTAGGATTAAAGAAAAGCTCGATGATATCCAAGTCGGAGAACTTGAATTCTTCTTCTCTCACGACACTTTCGATGACATGATGAAGGTCATCTCCCGGATGAAGAAGTGTTTTGCCTCTCCTGATCCAAATCAGAGCACTGCCAAGGCCAACTCAGATGACGTTAAGGACAAGACGTTGTTTACTCCGTTGAAAACGTCTTTCTTTGCAAGGTGCGATATTGTATCGGTGCTTCTGGCCACTGACAAACTAGTTCCGTTCAGTCGGCTTCGCTGTGACAGTCTGTACATAAAGAAAGACGGGCGCCCAATTGACCCGGAGCAGCCGTACATTCCAGTGTTGAAAGTGGTATCTCGTGCATTTTCACTAATCAACTTGACAGAAAAAGGCCAGCACTATCCAGATGCCATAACTCCACTATACCTTGAGGACATGAGAAGCTTCCCTTTCCAGGTTGAGTACTCGTCGGGATCTCCCCCTTGGCTGCCTGCTTCAGATCTCAAAATGGCACTGCGTGGTTTCCGCCTTTTCCTTTTACGACAATACATCAATGAGCTTCTGCAGTTCTTTCTCTGCGAGTTGTACGGCGTCGGGAAGTTGAGACATGCCGCCAAAGTGGCCGAGGAGATGGAACGTCCCAAAAAGGAACCGAGTCCTCCCATGACATACACAATCAACATTCTTGATTCTTCCCTCATTCTACCTCGGTCGACCCGCAGTCATGACTTGGCTGCCATCGAGATCGGTCGAGGGGTCATCTTCAATAGCAGGCGCCACCACTCGTTCAGGATGCCAACAGAAACAAGCCCATTCCAGGCGGAGCAGGAGGAGGATGCAGAGACTGGCTCAGTGTTTACAAGAATGACATTTCAGCTGCATCAAATGCGGCTCTTCACTTCTCTCAGCGATGAAAAGTTTGTCCCGAACCAAACAGATAGTCCCATTTTTCGGTACTTTTATGACGTTGATGGGAGAGCTGAGCACAACTCATGGGTTTACAGCAAACAATCGATACTCGGAGACGACCCACCGGAAGAACACGCGGAGGTGTTTGAAGCTCTGTCCGAGCGAAGATGGAGGGAAATCACTACGGGGTTCTTGTCCTTGGACGTCCTGTGCGATTACACTCCACACCTTCGACTACTTATCTGCGAGCCTCTTGAACCGGAACACTTCGTGGCGGCCCCCCGGCTCGACGTGAGGTTGTCACAATTCTGTATGCTCCTCTCCGTGTGGTATGACAACATGCAAGAGGTTCCATTGATGTTCCCATATCCGGCTACAAAGTTCCTTGCTGATGGTAGAAATCTTCTGTGGTGCACCAACCCAACAGAATATGGGACGGACGACTATCTTGGAGTTTGGGACGATTGGTCGTGCGTCAAGACGGAGATCTGCGTGATTTTGAGAAACCTTGGATTGCGCTGCCAATTTGACCCGCCTGGTTATTTTGACCATGAAATCGAAATCCAGACTTTCTACGAAGACCCAGATCCTTCAAAGGAGGGGCATTGTTGTCAGGTATACTTCACTGATGTCATTGTTCAAACGTACAGCGACTTGCGAGGGATGATGAGGGTGGCCGTCGCAGCTGCCGCCTTTGATTTCATTGACGAACGAAGGAACGCACATTGTCAGCGGACATTCGACGTGCGAGACAGGAAAGGGAAGGATGAGACCAAATTCACCACATGGGCAGACTTGAGTTGGGGGCTTCGAGATGACGCCAAGGGAATTGGCAAGCCGCTACCGCAACCGGTGCAGATATCCGTCTTTATGACCAAGGATTGGGCTCTGATCAATCTGGGCCTGGACGAAGCCAATGCTGTTTTGAGTGAGCTCTCGCCGATTTGGTTCTTCCTTGGATTCTTCATTCCTTATTGGCAAGAAGGGGCTTATGGCAATCCAGGATACACCGGCAACGAGGCAGCCAGACGAGTAAAGGATGTGCTCCAAGCAGCAAGAGGAGTAGAAATGAAGGATCCGGATGGTATGAACATTGATTTCCGTATGTGGCTGGGAAAACCTCACCTATCCATACCGTGTGACCTCGTTGATCCTCGCGGACCAAGCCTGCGTATTGAAAGCGAAACCGGGTTGTGGTATCGTTTCAAATCTATCAAGGATTACAAGTCTCAAGAAGTCATCAGCACTGGGTTGGACCTTGTTTTTGCCAACGAGTTTCTCAGCCCACGTGAAAGCTTTGACAGCCGTGATACCATGGTCCGTCACCTGGTAGAAGGACTCTCGTTTGCATTGCGCCTGGACGGTAACAATGAGATTCCTGGATGTTACCACGCTGACTATGCTCTTGAGATCCCTTACAAGACTGGTACCAAAGCCGATTGTAGCATACGATCTCATGAAATTCAAGTTCCACCCATCATCTTAGATGCCCCAACAATCTGCTCTCCCGTGGAAACCCCCACAAGGGTGCTTGGCCCTGTTGTTTGCGAGATCACCGTGATTGTGGAAGTGCTGCCTCTCGCTTCTTCCGTCATGGTGAACTTCTTCTCTGGTCCCGTGGACGATACCATTGAAGTTGAACCGATAGACGAGAAGAAAACATTCTCCTTTAGGGGCAACATCGGCGACCTCAGGCTTTTTGCTGTTGACCCTGTGCTTGGAGTACAGCTTCCTGTAGCAGTTGTCTCCATATCAAAGATCCTGGTGACGGCCTCTCTTCTGTCTCAAGATCCAACAAGAAAGGGACAAATTTCCCGAGGCGAATCTCCTCCCGAGGACCTTCATGTTATACTCGACAGTCATTATTGGGCGGACTACTTCAAGTTGGGGGTAACGAGGAGCTGGGAGCCTCTTTTGGAGCCTTACAGGTGTGTCCTGCTCTACGAAAAGTCAAAGTATCGTGGCACTGGTCTGTCAATCAATGCAGACTGCCCTTTCCATTTGAATGTTTCCGGGGCTTTGCTTCTGATCTTTGACGAAGTAATCGACTCCTTCTCCCGTCTGGTAAAGGAAGTGTTTGGTCAGGATACGGAACAAGAGCTTGAGCGTGTCATCCCCAAGTCGTCTCTGCTGAGAGAGAGGTTGACAGTTGGTGAAAAAGTGCGTCTCGCGGGGGATCAAAACCTGATGGTTGTGCATGACATCCCCAAACCATTGCTGGGAGATCGCGTTGCCTTCTCCCTGTGCAATCTAACTGGGCAGAAAATGCGTATTCACCAGCAAGAAGGGTTGTTTCTCAATGGCGAGCGCATGAAGCCTGCGGTTGTGACATACCTCAATCATGATGAGTCCACCAGCCTGTCGTTCGATGCCACCATCTCGGTCGTCAAGAATTTATCAGTTGTGGAAGTCCCATACCCTGGTCTGCCAAGCTCTCAGAGTATGAAGCGAGCAGAAAGATCGACGAGGCATGCTGTCGATTTGCAGCTCCCTGGCTTCCGGTGGGTGCAGGGTATCAAGGTTGACACGTTTGGTCGAAAATTTGAAACGCTCAGACCACGCTCCTCCGATCTTCTTTCGAAGATACTGCAAGATTGGCGCTTGGAAAACGCTCTTCAACTCTTGGTTGAAGTTGGTTTGGACAATGGGGGACGCCTGGTGACTGTGCGAAGCCTGTTTGAGGTCAGAAACAACACGACGCACCCACTCTCGGTTCTTCTTCACCCCGATCCAATACACAAGCCTGACAACAGCAGAAGGGCGGTAAACACTGACGAACACGATGATGCTCGGACACGTTCTGACGATGAAATATCAGTGGTGGAACCGGGGGATTTCTTCCAGATACCAACGTACTTGCTTGAAAGCAGTTTGAACATGGGCGGTTGTCACCTAGGATCCCTCTGGTTCAGACCAGACACCTCAGATGATATTGCGTTCCCTAAATTGATTCCGGGAATCGGTCACGAAGGCTCCGGACAAACGAACGTCGAGACCAACTATTGCTCTAAACCAGTGCAGCTTGCAAAGTTAGTTCAAGAATCAGCCATCATCTTTGAAGACCACGGGGATTCAGAAATATCTCCCGAGAAAGCAAAAACTGGCATTCAGCTCGCATGTGTCGTTCAATCAAAGGGCGGAGAGTCTTTGCCGCCCTTTTGTTATGCTGTTGAAATTGGGAGGAGCCCAATAGTGCCGGACAGAAGGAGGTCAACTAATGCTCACATCGGAGGAAGCCAACGTTTTGACGCATCTGACATACACTGTCCTGTGGCCTACACCTTGGCACTACATGCCCCCTTTGTCATAACCAACCTATTGCCGGAGACGGGAAGGTTCGAATTGATGCATGCTGTGAGAAGGACGGTCCTGTGGTTTGGTGATTTGAAGCCTGGGCAGCAGATGCCCGTTCACTCAGTTGGCTTGGACGCACCTTTGCTGCTTCTCCTGAATCTTGGTTTCTGTAGAACACCAGTAGGAGAGGGAGCACTTGTCCATCATGGGGCAGACGCACCTGTGGGTTCCAAAGGTAGGTCCAGTTGGAGTCAGGAGATTTGTTTTTGTTTCGTATAGTTGAACTGAAGTGTTGCCTTGTCATTGTTTTCCCACGTAGACAATGTTGGCTTAAAGTCCTTGGTTGGAAAATCTGCTGGGGCAGTTGGGAAGGTTGTCACAAAGGGCACCGGCGCCGTTGGGAAAGCCGTTACAAAGGGTACTGGGGCCATGGGGAAAGTTGTACAAAAGGGGACCAAATCAATAGGAAAAACTCTGAATGCAATGTCTGATTCCCCAGACAAGTTGATGGCAGAAGATCCAGAGATGTACGCAGCCCTTTTAGAGGCGAGGCAGGCCCAACAACAGAGTGGCGGTGCAGGAGCCATGGGATTAGATACAGGTACGTTTGCGAACGCTCAAAGCAGTGAGTTTGTTGGAGAACATTCTCTCACCCACCGTGCTCTGTCTTTTCTAGGCCTTGGAATGGATACTCCAGAAGGTAGAAAAGTCCACGCTGTGGAAGGCAACATTTACTCTCCGTTTGATGTTGCTTTGGAAACAGCCGTGGTCGATAGTATTGGTCAGCGTCTCACGCTGAGCATTGAGAATATCCGCGGAGGTGGCGGCCAGCGTAGGATAGCCGTTTACTGTCCTTTCTGGATTGTGAACACAACTCAGCACTCCTTGCGATACAAACAAGAAGGAAGCAAAGCTTTCGTTTGTGGTACCGTAGTAGACTCTGAAAGGGATGGTTCAAAGCCAGTTGATGGGAGTACTCGGAATTATGTCAACAGACACCAGCTTGCAAGAGCCACTCGTCTGAGTCCTAACAGGTATATCCGTTCCCATCGACCCATGAACGAAGGAACCATATTTGCTGGCACCGTTGGGGCTTTGGCTACATCCCCCGGTCGCTGTGATCTTTCACCATCGGATTTAACTGATTTGATTGACAAGGACCTCTCGCTTGAAAGACTGGCCAATCTTGCTTTCATGTTCAATTTCCATGAAGATGTCCTGTCCATTGGAAACCGAAGACTGTCCGTACAGCTCGCGGATAGCACAGAACATCTGCAGTACTTTTCCGATTGGGCCCGAGGCTTCAGTTTGGACTCGGTTGGTTTCTCACAGATTGTGGCGTAAGTTTCAAAGGCGGGTCCAAGCGATGCACCGCAATTTGTCTAACAGATCTTGCTATTTCTCCTTGCTTCGAAGGCTCCACTGTAGAGAAGGCCGTGCCCTTGAACTGTCGGTGGTTGTCAGTGTGGCACCTGGTTTCTTGTCTGGGTACACAAAAATTGTCCGTTTTGTCCCACGATACGTGCTTGTCAACCAGCTGGAGTTTCCCGTGCGACTATGGCAAGACAGCTCTGTGTTTCGTCCTCTAAACGAGTCCCCATCGACGACGGGAATTGATGAGTTGGTGAGAGGTACCGATCTGGGTAAATGGAGGTTTGCTACGTCGGAAGACCACCATCTCAGTGTTATCAACCAGTACGAAGCTCTTTGGGGAAGGGTGACTGTGGTTGATGAATCGGATTCAGATCGGATTCTGGAGGGCACAACGGCTCACAGAAACGCCAACTACATTGCAACAGCCGGACCGCTCGAATTCGTTCCCTTCCATTTGCCAGATTCTCGCGGCGAGAGGCAGCTTCGAGTCGGTTTGGGAGCTGCGTGGAATCTCACAGCAAGTTTCGCATCCGATTTTCCTGGCGATCACACTCTGGGGGTCACACGCTCTGTGGATTTGAGATTTCTTAGGTACGTTTTGCTGTTGAAAACCAAGTTAAATTTCCAGATTTGATCTAATGCAGCTCACTTTCTCGCATTTCAGGCATGTTTCCACGAGAGCGTCACCAATGTACAGAGTCTGCTTACCGCCAGCCCATGGCGGTGAGTGGGATGGAGAACTTGGTGTTTGGTTTGAAACTGACTGGGGTGGTGATAGGCGCATCATTGTGAAAGGGATGAGACGAGGTCGTCACTGCTTCAATGAAACAGACATCCACGCAGGAGACGAACTGCTTCGCATAGACACCGTGTCAGTCTCAAGGTTGTCGTTCGAAGAGACGATGAAGCTGCTCAAGCAGCGCTTGGCGCAGGTTTCTTCCTCTAGTAGTACCAAAGCGAAGATGTCCGATAATTCAAAATGGATGGATCGCTCGTCTGGGTTCTTGCGTCGTCGCCAGAGCGAGCAAGAGGAAGAAAGAACGGAGTCAACTCAGGACCGACTTATTCTCACCTTCCGAACACTGGAAGAACGTCTAAGACGGCTGCGAATGAAGGCTGCTAGAAACAGTGGTGTAAGCAATGTCGGAAGGACCAACCACGGTGGGCCGGGGGGGGGAGACTCGGTGTCGCAACCAGGAGCACCCATGTTCAATCGAGCCCTGGGTGGTTTGAGGGTGGAAATGAAGCCTCTACATCACTCCATGTTTGTCGTGCTTCGACGACAGGATCCTACGAACCCTCCTTTCAGGATCGAGAACAGATCTATGAATCACACGATATTTTATCGTCAACGAGGTAAGTTGTGGATTCATTGCCTGCGTACTGGTGCTTGCAATTACGTAGCGCTTGCTAACGGCGAACTGATGTACCCGATGTTATAAAGGCTGTGAGAGCCACAATTGGAATTCACTCCGTCCGGGCCAAACACAAGCATATTCGTGGGAGGAACCAATGAGACCTAAACGGCTTGTTGTAAGGGCGGCGAGGGATGGCCTCTCCCTGGGGCGACCCGAAAGTGAACCTCCAGATGACGCAAGTATTCGCAGTTTCACGAGTGAAGGTGCCGGGAGCAGGGAAATAGAACAACGGACAGCGCGGTCATCAAAACTAAGGCAGGCCTTGTCGTACCAATACGTGGAAGACGAAGAACAGGGTCGCTTTGGAGCAGCCACCATCGTTAAACTCGAGGAGATTGGGTATCGCGGAATACTTATGTGCCCCGTAGGCATGACAGAGGATCAAGACGCACGGAGGAGAAGGGTTCACTTAAACGTCGAAGTTGAAACAGATGGAGCCACAAGAATTATGGTCATCTCAGACGACACCTCGCAAGCCCGTGATGATGAAGTGGCAGTGATGAATCGAAGACTGGAAAGTTTGAAGCGACAACTGAACGAAGAAGAGAGCAGATTGGCGAACCTCGCCGCGCTCCGATATCTTCTTGGGGGCACTGGTAACGAGGGGGCTATTTTACAGGGCGCGGCACTCAGCAATCTATCACTCTACATGGAACAAGTCGAAAGTCTCGATGATGCTGAAAGGGAACGCACCATCGAAGACCTTGCTTTGAACATCACAGATGACTTTCCACAAGAACACGTCGTCTATCGGCGCCATCAAATTGTCGTGGAGGTCCTCGAGGCGGTCGGTTTGAACCCAGAAAATGAGATAGCCTTCTGCAATCCCTATTGCGAGGTTATCTTGAAGGGTCGGTCCAAACTGAGGAAGTCGTTCTTTGAAAGAATTAGAGACAGGGGCAAGACTTACTACGCAAAGAAAAGTCTTTCGCCAAAATGGACGGATCAAATCTTTGTCTTTGATGTGCCCGCGGAAGCTGTGTCTGTTACGAGGGGCCACTCAATTCATGTCAGAGTCCGAAACTTCCGTTTTGTCGGGGCACACAAGATGCTTGGCCAGGCGACTGTGCACCTCCACAGCGTGCGAGATCAGCAAGAACTTGTTGGATGGTATCCCTTGGCGGGAAGAACCGGCAGCACTGAACTTGACAACCCACTTTCCAATTGGGGGCGGGGATCTGTCAAGCTGCGCATTCATTGGGTGCATTCTACTCCTGCATTACTTGACTATCTCATCATGTTCACGGGCAAGCGCTTGCAGCAGTTGGAGGACAGGAGAAATGGATTGCGAGAACAGTGGAAGACTGCCTCGGACGCAGAAAAACGAAGGAGAGAGGGTGACACTTTGAAGTCTACGGTTTCTCAGGCGGTTCCGAAGGTGCAGAAGGACAGGAATGCGTCAAAAAAGCAATCCCACTCAAGCTCTAGCAAGGAACTGGACGTCAATGGCGACGAGGCCATGGGAGCCGGCTTTTTTGATACCCGAAGGATAGTCAGAGACAGGAGCAAGCTGGTGACCTACTTTCAGAAGATTGCAAAGAAGAAGGGGCACGAGAGAGGTGAAGGATCAGAAAATGGGCAGAGCTTCCAGTATGATTCAGAACAATGGACCGGTGGAGCGTCGGGCCTGCCAAAGATTACCGAGCATGGAGCGTCTTCAGATGGATCATCAAGTTCTGCCGACACTTCGCTATTCGATATGTCTGGCAAGGACTCTTCCGACTCAGGCTCTGGTGACGGGATTCAAAAATGGCGCCAAAAGAGAGGTTCTCTAGCAAGCCGCAGTACCCGCAGCAGCTTTGTGATGGAAAAGGCGCCGCCAAACCTAACCCGTGCACGTCCTGGCAATCGCCGCCAAATGCGTGGTCGGCAGAGTGAAATTAAGCCCCCATTGGGAGACCGAACACTGGCTCGCACAACGGGGAAGATGTTTGCCCAAAAGCTGTTCAAGCGGCTTTCGGCGTCAGTGAATATCCCCACGGATAAGTTGTCCAAACTGAACGATTCTAGTTCCGTTGGGGATGACGACGAGCAGAAGGAAGCCGCGAGGCTTAGTCAATTGGACACGGTCAAAGAACTTCTGTCACGAGGACTCATTCTTCACGAGGTTGGCCAATACTTCCACCGAGTTGATCCCTATCGCCTCCATGGCAAGGCTGACGATGGAACTGCTTTGAAGATTCCTCGAATAACTTGCTGGACTCATGCACAATCTTTTTTGAATGACGAGACACTCGACCTCAAAGTCGGCGAGGCCTCTTTTGAAGTTGTCATCCATCACTCGGTGAAGGCTCCAAAGAGGCAGATTGATGCTGGAGGCTCTTACTCCAAGCGAGTTGCCAAGGAGCGACTCCAACTCCCTTCTTTAGCTCCATTGTCGATGGGGCATCGTGCTCTTCAGCATATTGAGTATGTTGTTCAGTCAAGAAACCAGTTCGAACGTGCCTGCCGAAGAGCGCTGAGGTCTGTGTTGAACCCCGGAGGATGGCTAACAATTCGCCCCATTACGGCATTGAATCTTCCCGATACTTACACGGGTATGCATGTGAAGCTGAAGTACGGTCCTGAGGTGGTTGTGAGCTCATCCGTTGATGCCAAAGTAACCCCGACTTGGACTCCAAAGGAAGTCATGAATCGCGTCAGCACCGTACCAGATCTCCAGGACGAGTACGGTTTATATTATGAGGAGGCAGATGACCACATCCCTCCAGCCCTCAATATGGACAGATTTGAATTTTACGAAAACGATCTTCTCTTCTATGTGGAACCACAGAAAACAAGCGGTTCAATTCGGCTATCCGTGGTTGGCGAGCGACTCAATAACAAAAGCGAGCTTGGGGTTTTGCACATCCCGCTTGGAGCCGCAATTGGCTCATGCATTGATTGCATTGAAGATTACCTGGACTCTTTCTCAGAACATGCTCCTTCGACAACCCCGATGTATGTTCGATGGTTCCCGTTGATGAATCCCAAAGATACTGATCCTGTGGAAGGTGACATGGGCTTAAGCTCCCGTCCCCCAGAAAGTGAACAGCTTGGTGATGATATGTTCCAACAGTACTTTGCTCCGTGCATTCAGCTTGCTTTGATGTGGTGGCCCGACGACAGAGAGATGGGCTTTGATATCGATCACGAGGAATCGGAGGTGCCGCAAGATGTGAGCCAATGCTTCCAACCTGTTCACAAGACTCCCGAACAACCAGAAAAGTCACTCATGAACAACTACTTCAATGCTGATATTGGGCGCATATCAGCTGCTTTGATCGATTCAGATAGGGCGAAAGAGCTCTTGTCGTTCTCGGCTCTGGATATTGACTTGCGATACTCAGAGAATGATGCCAAAACCAGAATTGGGCTTGTCGTGGGTTGGGTCCAGCTAGATCATCAGGAAGACAAGTCGAGAGAACCCGTTGTCTTGGCACCGAAACCGGTCGAACACATCCAACCAACATGTCAGTTGCTCATTGTGAAAGACAACTTACGTTCAAAGAAGAATATCATGTCTTATCAACAAATACGTCTCACCCTTGAGGAAATGGACCTTACCATTGAAGAGTCATGGCTGTTTGACTTGTGGGACTTCTTCATTGGTGTTGTCAGGAGACGTGAAGTGAGGCAAAAGGCAAACAGGTCCTTTGAGGTTGACACGAAGGGCAATGAACTGCAGAGAGAGAATCGCTTTACAAATATCGAGCCGCCAGATCCAGACACTCCCGGTTTGATGTCTCTCCTAGTTGGTGAACATTCGGAAGAAGATGCCTCGGCTGGCAAGGTTTACGTGGAGCAATTGGTTCTCGGCCTCCTCAAGGTCAATCTTAGCTATGTCAAGGGCAAAAAGCAGCTTGCGTGGGAGCTTACGGATAAGGGTGATTGGGTATCAAAGACAATGGACCCTGCTTTCCATGTCATTTCACAGAACTTGGGAGTTTCAGGAGTTGTCGGCGAAGAGGAAGAAGGAGATCCTTCTGAATTGTTCATGAGATGGAGTCAGCATACGTATGATGAAGACCTGTGGGCAGAGAGACAAGGTGTGTTTGAGTTGTAGTTTTACCACGGTGCTCCAACTGTTGAATTCGTTTTAACCTTTCTTCTTCCTGTATTACCTTCACTTTTGAAGGCAAACGGTCTCAGAACCTGAAAGGAATTATTGGCGCCGTCTTGCCCAACGTCTCTGATGCACCAATCAGACTGCAAGGAAAGGTCTTGGACAATGTGTTTGAGAGCCCGAGTGAAATTTTATCCAGCATCTCAAAATTCTACGTGATGGAGACGCTCCGGCAAGTCTACAAGATCATTGGCTCACTTGACTTTGTCGGCAATCCTACTATGCTGTTCAGCTCGTTTGTCAGTGGAGTGCGTGATCTAGTGGTGACACCTTCTGTCGCATTCTTGAGATCACCGACAAACCCAACAAGTGTTGGAATCGGGGTTGCAAAGGGCACTTTGTCGCTCTTTTCCCACAGCACTAGTGGAATCTTTGGTTTCTTGGCAAAGACTACTGCTGCTGCTGGGCAAGCTGCGGCAATGCTGTCTCTGGATCCTGAGTATAGAGACTGGCATCGAGAACGTGTTGTCACAGAAGCAACCAATCTCAATAGAGAATGGAAGAAACGCGGAATCGAGAGCGTCTCTGCGATGATGACGAAACCGGTCGGTGATGTTGCCCTCGGTGTTTTGATGGGTGTTAGTGGTCTTGTTACGGCACCATACAAAGGGTATCGCAACAACGGGAAGCTGGGTTTGGCTAAAGGGGTTGCAGTGGGTGGGATAGGGTTGGTCGCGAAGCCGATTGTTGGTCTCCTTGATGCATTTACTCATTTTACAGCATCAGTCCATGACATTGCAAAAAGCGTGAATATTCTCGAAAGACGGTTCCAACCGGTGCTGAAACTACGGCTTCCATACATCTTCGGTCTGAGCAATGTGTTGGCGCCGTTTGACAGTGTTTCTTCACGCAGTATGTATCTGTTGAAGAATTTCACTCCAAAAAGCCTTAAGATGAAAAAGTCCGCTTGGAATGAGACGCATGTTGCTTCCGAGGTCCTCCACATGGAGCCTGGAGTTGACACGTATGCCATTGTTACAACACTCCGTGTCGTCTTGATTAAGGTGAAGAAAGACAACCTTGGTCGTCTGGGGTCAACCCTTTGCTGGGAAGTGAGCCTTGGGACCGAAAACAATAAAGTGTCTTCACAAGTGTCGGATCATGGGCACAATGGGGTTGCCTTGACCATTACCAGGCGATACAAGCGGTCCACTGGGGGGCGCTTTAGGTCCCTCGAACAGAGGAGAAAGATGAGCGCTTCAACAGGAACAGGGAACTATGGAAGCCAGCAGCAACAGAACCCCAATCAGCCAAGCAGATCACCGGCAGACAAGACTGCAGTATTGGATCAACGGCAACAAACAGCTTCTCCAAGTGGCGACGATAGGGCTACGGACGCAGTAGTTGTTGGCACTAGCAGCCCGCAGCCTGACGACGAGGATCAAGGAAGGATTCTACCAACTACGCCCAATTCTTCTTCCAGGTTCCAAACTCAGCCGGAAAGCGGGGTCAAAGATGATCCTTATCACGGACACGGGGAAACGTATGGGAACGGGGAAACGTTGGAGTGGTTCACAGTGTTGGCCGAGTACCCCAATCGTCCACAGTTGACGCGCATCCATAATGCAACTTCCTGCATTTTAGGGAATTACGATGCAGTCGTCCATGACCACCATAGGAGCCCAGCGATGAGCACGGAAGGGTATACTGCGTTCGGCCTTTTCGACTTTGAGAAGAATTGGACGGACGAAGGTCAAAACGGAAGACAAGAAAAGTACCTAATGGCTGCACTGGAACGTCTCCCTTGGATGCATGACAAGACATTTGAAGCAACTAGAGGAAAGACACTTGACGAACAAAGATCACTTGTTAGGGATATCCGCGATAAATGGATTTTCTCCTGTGAGCTGGAGGCTTCCATTGAAATGGGCGGTCCTGCATGGCTTATCGAAACAAGGGCGCACGCCATGTTTGTCCCTTCTGAACCACCAATGCCTCCACCGTCAATACCTCGCAACGACCCTGTGGTGAAGCAGGTTCTCTATCAACAAAGCCACGGAAACATCAGTCGAGAGCAGGTTCGAGAGCTCTTTGAATGCCACAAACGTGACTTGGAGGGTCCAACTTCAGGCGAAATTAGCAATATATGGAGAAAGCTGTCATCTGGAGAAGACTTTGAATCCGATCTCAGTGAGCTGGCCAAGTTTGAGGACTTTGAATCTGCCTTCTCGTCAATTTCGACCACTGTTGTCCATCCCGGCGGGGGCTTCCACCCAAACCTCTCGGAGTTCAAAAGCCAAGGCATTGCCTCTTTTCAATCAGCGCACGAGAGCATGCCAACAACGCTGGTGCGTCCTGGGAGTGGAATGTCAGGCAGCTTCCCAGATCAAGACGATTACGACACTGAAAGCGTTGGCACGAGGACTTCAGACGGTTCTGCCGATGGACTTGCAAGGCATGTTGCAAGAAATGAAGCATCTCAGAGCCCACGAGCAATGGTCTTTCCTCCGCTTGGTCCCAACACCCTTGTGAGGACTGAACCACACCTATTCCCGGATGCCAGCGGTCAAGTTGCAGGACGCACTGCTGTTGCTGCAGGCGATCCGATGCAGGCTGCGTCCTCGGAGGACAGGATAGGACGTATGGAGGGACTGATGGAGCAGTTGGTAATCTTCAACTCACAACTGGCTCTCATGAAAGGGCCGTCATTGGCCGGTGGAGGCGGCGTGAATTTTCACTCTGGACAAACGGATGCAGATACCGGTGCACTCCAGCAAGAGATATTTGCGCTGCGAAACCAGTTGGAGCGACAAAGTAGGAAGGACGATGCGACAACTGAGATCTTGTCGGGTCTTCGAAATGAACTTGCCCATATTCGAGCACGGCTTGCAGAAGAGGAGCTGCCACCTGCACCGAAAGCCCGCCTCACTGGCAGCATGAAGAGCAAGGACAAGAAGAAGAAGGTGAAGCCCTCCAAGGTGAAGAAGAAGGCACCGCCACAGACCGTTGACGACGATGAAAGCGATGCAAATGAAGATTCAAAACCGAAGGCGAGGCGGCGCAGTGTAAGATGGTTTCAGATGGGATCGTCCACCAAGTCAAAGTCCAAAAAGAAGAAGAGCAAGGACGACGATGTTTCCGAAACTCCGAGTGCCCCATTGGTGTTGGCAAAACCCGACGCAGTGGGGCAAAACGGGGACAACGAGAAAGACGACAAGCCTTCGAAGAAGACCGCCTCGTCTCCAGTGTAAGCGTGATGCGGGGTGGCTGTCTCCCCGCAGAGTTTTGAAGCTATTGCTACTAGTAGCTAGTATAGTGTACCAGTATCGTACTATAGAATGGATCCTTTGGAATGTCACTGTAAGGTAGCTAGCTAATACTGTTGCTCCTACCGGGCTACCGGTGCCGCTGTGGGACGTGGTTTCTCGGCTGTACCGTACCGGTACCGGTACCAAGTACGGTTCGTTATCGAGCAGTCTTCCCGCAAGGTACTTTTGTAAGCAATCACCGGTATTCGTCTGGCCGCCAACGGGGACTTCTTCTCTCATCACCCGCCAACAAAAATCTTTGCCTCATTTCATTTTGTTTTCTATCTTGGCTTTCACGTTGTGTTTTTGGATCCAACCATGGTGGCCACGGGTGTCTATGAAGTGCAGGAGAGTGGGCTACAATGGAAACACAACATCCAGCAACAACGGGAGAATGAACCTGGGACACCCCAAGAGTTTCTGGACAATTTCAGGTGCGTTTTGCTTCTTGATCGTCTTTCTCTCCTGTTTCAAACTATCATGCAGGAAGGATCTGATGTATCTCTTTTTCTTCTTCCGTCCATTATCGTATATTGCCAGTCAAAATTTCGAAATGCGAGTATTGGAACGACCGTCCGAAGATCACCTGATTCTGGAATTCAACCATGTAGATGTTTCCTTTGTCAATGCCTTGCGACGAATTCTCTTATCGGAAATTCCGACAGTGGCGATCGAAATGGTGTACATGTGGATCAATACCGGTATCATTCACGACGAAGTTCTGTGTCACCGACTGGGGCTCATTCCAATCTACTTTGATCCACGACGACTGCAATCCATGGAGGAAACCGATGGGACTGCCGAGGCAGGAGCACCCACGGATCGGAATACGATTGTCTTTCGATTGAATATTAAATGCACAGCGGAAGATGCCCAAGAGGACAAGAAGAAACATCAGAAATCGGCCGCTGCAGACGACGATAGTGACGACGAAGGTGTGGTACCCAAGAGCGCCCATCCTGCCTTGGAGGAAGCTACCACAGCCGCTGCCAGAGCCAAGGCCAAGGAAAATAGCAAAAAGATTCCAAAACGACCGTACACCAAGCATGTGTATTCGGGAGACATGGAGTGGGTCCCACAAGGAGATCAGGCAAAAAGGTTGGAAGATACAGATGTTAGGGTGGTCCACGATGACATTTTGATTTGTAAATTGCGGCCAGGACAAGAAATTGAGCTAGAAGCTCATGCCAGAAAGGGAACTGGCAAAGACCATGCCAAGTTTTCTCCCGTGGCAACGGCGTCGTACAGATTGTGCACCGAAATCACACTGTTGGAGCCAGTCTATGATGAATTGGCAGAAGAATTGGTTCATCTATATGAACCGGGTGTCTTTGAACTGGTCCCAAGTGACGAACCAGGGACACGCGTCGAGGCCAAAGTCTGCAACCCATATGCCTGTACCATGTCTCGCAATTACATGCGCAATCCACAGCTGGCCAAAGCCATCAAAATGGTCCGCATCCCAGATCGATTCATCTTCAGTATTGAAAGTGTGGGACATTACAAACCAGCTGTGTTGCTAGGACAAGCACTCAACATTCTGCAAGGCAAATGTCGACGAGTACAGGATCTTGCGGATCAAGCAATGGGACGCTAATTTACGTATTTTTTAGCAGTAGACTACAGGTATCTATTGTTGTTTTTGCGTACCTATGCACGTGGACGACGTATTCTACAGGACCGTAGCAAATCTTTGTTAGTACTAGCTAGCTAGCTAGCAAATTCGGTGCATTTCTGTTTGTGGGTTTTTCGGACGGGCCCCATTCTTGAAGAAGGATGATTGTTGGCACTTCCGATTGGTCTGCTCCATGCCTCGCCACATTTCCCCTCATCAGTCGCCTCGCCGTCACTCTGTCAGACGTGTCAGTCACGTCATTGCTTGACTTCTTCCAAGGCCCCGGCCACATCGCCAAGAGTAATGATGAGATTATCCAAACCACCTCCATCCTGACTTCGTGCGCGAGCCAAGGCAAAAGAACCAGAGGATCGAACTAGGCCTGCAATATCTGCTCCGGAATAACCTCCAGTCCATCGATCAGATGCCAAGTCAAGAATGCGATGCTGCCACAAAGCGGATGACATCTGCTCGGCACCCCTTGAACTGACCACTGAAAGTCGTTTTCGGAATGACTGAAGCCTTTTTCTCCATGCTTGGTCATCGACGTTGCCACTGTATTTCTTCTGCGAGGGAGTTGTATCATGATAGCCATCGATGGCATTGCACAGCGATTGACTGAGGAGTCCTCGACGACGCAGTGCTTCAAAGTGTATTTTGAGGATCTCACGTCGCCCTTCTTTATTGGGAAGTGGGATTTTAATTTGAACCTCTAACCTTCCAGGTCGAAGCAGTGCTGGGTCCAGTAGCTCTTTTCGGTTGGTCATGCCAATGATGAGAATATTGCCAAGCTGTTTGACCCCATCTAGCTTGGACAGTATTTGATTGACCGCCGATGCTCGGGTGATTTCTCCACCACTGTCCTGTGAAGAGGAGCTTCGTTTGCGAAACACGGCGTCAATCTCATCAATGACAATTACATGCAATGCACTCTTTGTGGCATCCCCATTGCACGCGGCAAGCTCGCCTTCGGCATCCTCAAAGAGTTCTCGCACCATCTTTTCACTTCCACCCACCCAGCGGGATAGAAGTTCCGGGGCTGCCACAATCTTGGGCGGTCTTGCCTGCAGTACGTTGGCTATTTCGCGGGCCACTAGAGTTTTCCCGGTTCCTGGCGGCCCGTAGAGCAACAAACCACGAACAGGAGATAGCCCCAAGCCCAATAGCGCCTCCATCTCTCGTCGCCGCACAGAGTCGGCACCTGCAGATTGTGGAGGATTGATTGTTGTGGCACCACTGGCTGTTGTTGCGTCTGCGTCTGCCGCTGCCACCAAGGCTCGCCCATCCAGGACTCTTCGAATGATACTGTCAATCTGAGGCCGCAGTCCTCCCACGGAGGCTGATATGGACGATTCCATATGATTGATGTATTCATTGCCGCTGCTTGACAATATTTGTGCATTGCCAGGGTTTGGTTCAGAAGCATTTGCCGCCAACGCAGCAGCAGCTTGTTCGGCTTCTTGTTCACTGACCAAATCCAGCATATGGTTGGGGTTCCATTTCATTTGGGAAATGGTGGTGGCACTTTTCGATCCTTCCTCATCATTATCATCCAACAATGGCAGACTGAGGCCTTTGGGTAAGATTAAGACCTCCATAAAGACAGCGACACCGGCATCAATGGCCTCATAGTTTCGCTGGGGACCACCGTATTGTAGCCATGATGGCGTTCGCAATGTTTGTGGCGATGTGACTAGTGTTCTGGCTCCAGCCTTTCTGGCAATGCTTCGTTGCGAATTCCCTCCAATGACACGAAACCGGGTGACGCCTCCCAAGAGCAACTTTCCATAGACCATGGCTCCCGGTGGAGCCTTTAACGGCTGGTTCAGCGATGCCCCGGAGGGCAATACGATCAATCGACATCCAATGCGTTCGAGAAACTCGTCTCTAGTGGAATCAATGGCTTGAAGCCAGGCTTCGTTGGGGATGGTGGCATTGACCGCCTGGCGTAGTGCCGGCGACAATTCGATGATGAGTGGCGAAGGACACGCCTTGATCCAACGAAGCCATCGAATCACTTGGTCTCTCCGAATTTCATCATCGTCGCCATTACTAGCAGTCACGAGTGATGAAGGCTGAGCAATAGATCGAGCAAAGGGTGGCAATTCCAGACCATCCAGACAACTTCGAAGCCGCAGAGCGGATGCATCATCCACCCAACTAGTCCATCCCGTCGACGCCCCATCAAAGCCATCATCTCGTTTCAAGTCACTCTTGTGAAGGCACAAGGCAGTGTTGCCCGCTAACACTTCAAAGGCAGAGTCGTCATGGTCGCCCTCCTCAGTAGTGGCATTGCTGTCTTTCTCCAGTTCCAATAGAGTGGAATTCTCTGCTGATGTTGTGGTGGTGGAATCCTCTGAAACTGGTGGAGGTGACGATTCTTCTGCTACTGCTGGAATAATACTATCTTGGACTGGAACATCTGCCTCAATGGTAGCTGCATAGTTTCGAGGGAATTGTCGTGCGCAACTTGTTCTAAAAACTGAGTTGGATACCCAAGCGTGGGACAGTGGACATCTCAGGACGAATAATATACCAACGACAAGAAGGACGCTTCTTGGGCGGCAGCTACAAGAAGAGTCCATCATGTGTTTCCTTCTCTGCTTCCTCTGTTCGATGTCCTCTTGACTCGACTAATGACAGAGAAGAAAAGTGGAGACACACATCACATAGCACCCGTTTCCCAAGAAAATGTGGTGAGGGCAATGACGTGTTTTCTTCACCCATCAGAGCTGTCAAAAGAAAGGACAGGTGCAAAATTCAAATCTTTTATTCCGAAGAGGAAGAGCAAATTTCAACTGACATTCTTGATCAAGGGCTGATGAGGGAGATGCTTGTGGGGAAGAACCCAAGAGCGCATTGTCATTATCGTAGCACTGGATCCGTTCTTCTTGCTACTAGCTAGCTAGATAGATTTAGTAGGGTAGTTATTTCTTGTGACAAGATGTCTGAAGCAGGGGGAGGAGCCTTGTCTGCCACACTGAATGCTCTATTTGGCGCTGCTGGCAATAGCAGCAGCAACAACAATTCACAAAACTCCGTGTCTCGGTCGCTCAGCACGACTGCTAGCATGGGGATCAGTCTGATCATTATCCGAATTGTAGCTTCAGCAGTGCAGGCTGCCAGAGAAGACTTGGCAAACAGCACTGGTGGCCACAACAACAATACGCAAGGTGGTGACGCTGTGACCCACATGCTTCATCGAGGAGAAAGCGTCCTCCAGTTCCTACGATCTTTTCTGCACCGAATGATTGTACAACGACAAAACACCATCACCAATGGGACCAACAACAACAACAAACAAGATGACGACGATGATGATGAAGACAATGTGCCAGTCATTCATGAGGGCTCTTGCCATTGTCAGTCGGTGCACTTTGAGGTACGTTCCTTTTATCGGTAGGCAATCCAATCCGGAACAACCAACTCCCACCCACTCACCCGTCTTTTCAATAATATCTTGACAACACACACACACACAGCTCATTGCTCCACAAAAGATCCTCTGCAAACTGGGGGAGGCTGCCAAAATTCAGTTCCGACACATCCGAGTCCGGGCCAAGAGCTTTCGGATACTTAAGGGAGCTCATCTAGTCAAGATGTACTATGTCAACAAACCATCGTCCGTTTCACCTCAGGCACTAGATACGGGAGCGCATTCCTTTTGTTCTCGATGTGGGGTGCACTTTCTCCATGCACCAAACTCTCGGTCCACAGCTTTGGATGTCAATGTCGATTGCTTGCACCTGGACGGCCCCATAAAGGTGTGCGGCAAAACAACCAATCTCTCCGTTGGAGTACCGGTTCCAGATCAATGGGATCAAGCCGAAACGGATGGGCTCAGTAGCTACAGCAATCGGTATCCAGCCACCATTGCCGAAGAAACGTTACCCATGATGATGATGTTCCCCACAACAGCAGAAAGCACTCCCTCGCCTTCCTTTGCAAGCTATCAGAACAATCATCATATGGCAAGAAACAGCCATAACAGTTCAGCTTGGGACTCGTTTGACAATAAGAGTGGCAGTAACAGTACCATCGACCTAGTCTTTCCGGCTTCATCCGCTGGAACCAAGATGATGCCACCACCACCCACACCGACCACCGTGTACACATCCAATACCGAGAGCTTTTACACGGCGGGGGGTCAACCCAACCACACTGGTGTTCCTCCCACATTGACATGGGACACTAGAGATTGCACCAACGATGCCGAATCGGTCATCTCCCTGTCCTCGGCCAAAGCATTCCCGGCACTACGAACCGGGCTCGATTCGTTTGGTGGTGGTGCCGCCGTCGATCCCATGGGCTCGCCTCCCAGTAATGCTGCAATATCACCCAGCACCACGCCACTGGTAAGGCATCAACTGAACTTTTACATGAGAAAACACATGTCCTCCTCGTCATCCGTGGGGTCTTCTTCGTCCATGATCTCTCCCAGAAACAGCACTGTACAAAAATCAACAACAAAGAGAGACTTTGTGGCTTCTTCCAACGAGGGAGGTGAACAGCATCAACAACAAGAAGATGTCAGCAGTTAACGTACGTAATCAATCATAGATAGTCGCTCTTTCTAGCTAGTTTGCTAAAAACAAAAGACTGGTATATTATCCTGTTGTCGTAGGAATCGAATCATGTGCTGTGTCATGCCTGGGCGCAGATACCCTTTCATCTAGATAGCTACCGGTAGCCAAGGCGCGCCATTCTGATTGGAGACTGGTGTGTTTCAGTCTCCCAAGGATGATGCTTTATGCAGTCAAACGACTACAGGTACCCGGAATCATTGTTCGTCACCAGTTGCTGAGACTGCTCGCTCAAATAGCAGGACGACTTCATCCGTGCGACTCTTAATCAATAGAGTTGTACAGTAGCATCAAAAGGATGAGAAATCGCACACAGGGAACGTGAATACAACCAACTAACTGTAACGCTGCAGTTCTGTATCTAAAACTTACCTGTTCGTTCGATAGCAATGCTTCCACAACCTCACCCCACTCCTTGGCTTTCATAACGTTGAACATGGTGCACTGCCAGGAGAGACCACCCGAAAAAGCGGCAGCTTGGGTTAGCAGGCCGTCTCCTTTTGGCAAACCCATCTTCCACTGGGACGTATACCGCAAAACATCGCCTACTTTCTCCCCGCCTTCACCATCTTGGGTGCAAACAGCCAGGCCCCTTTGTGGCTCCACATTCAGACCAAAGGGAACTTTGTAGCGCACTTCCACAATCTCACTTGGCACATCCAGGACGGGTTCACAGGCAATGTTGGCTTGTAGACCGGAACCAGTCGGTGGCATAAGCAGGGTGACTTCAAATTTCGTTGCAGACAGGCAAGTTCCAGAACCACGAGTAGACGTTTCTGCTGCCAATGGAAGAAAACCGTGACACGCTGAAACCAGCGAGATAACCAGGAGAAGCAAAGTCTTGTCCCTCATGCTGTACGGTACCGTACCAGACGCACACAGTGGATTCGCTTTTTGGAGAGGGCTTTGAGATGTGAAGCCAATTGTGATCGGCGCTCATTGTGTGATGTCCGCCATCGTCGCCGTGTCAAAAGTTGAGAAAAGATCGTTCCAAAGATCGTCGCTGACGTTTGCTCTTGAAGCCAGCGGAAGGGCATTTACACCCTGTACCGATGCACCTCACTGCTGTAGTTGTCTGTCCGGTACGCTACAACGTACCGATACACGGAAACGAGAGAGAGGAGAAGTCTAAGTCCAATTGAAGCTAACAATGCACTAATAAGTAAAATAATAAAATACAGTTGGGGCCTTCTCTATAGAATGGATCGTCTCATTCATTTTAGGAGCACCCAATCTGGGAAATCAAGAATGACAAAAATGGAAGAATGATTGGGATGTATGTGGGGTTGTATGAATGGGCCCGGCCTGTCTAGACAGCAATGCGGTCACACGTTGGTGCAATCGCAGTGCTTGTTGGTTTCTACCACCCGTGCTGCAGCCCCAAGGGTTCCGGTTCAACGACAGCGTCATTGGCGTTCGTTGCCATTTCAGCGACAGGGGCGATGTTCGGCGCAGCATCACTCGAGTCCACCGTCTTGAAAACGAAGGCTTCACTCGTAGGCTCCTCCGAGCCCCCACAACTGTTTGCGGGAGTAGCTCTCTTGCTATCGACCTCTTCCGCACAAACAAAGGCTTCACTTTGTCTCTTCGTAGGCTCCTCCGAGCCCCCACAACTGTTTGCGGGAGTAGCACTCTTGCTGTCGACCGCTTCCGCACTCGTGACCTCAGCGTCCATGACATCGGATGTCACAGGAGGGGCGGTCGCTGTGTGCTCTGTCTCCCCATCATTCGAAGCATCCATGACATCCGTCACAGGAGGAGGGGCGGTCGTTGGGTGCTCTGTCTCCCCATCATTCTTTTCAATCTTCAAAGGTGATGGAACAGTCGGAGCTGGTTCCGTGCTCTCGGAATCTCTGGAGACAGCTGCCTCGCGTTGCTTCTGGGACGGACCTTGAGGAAAGTCGGGATTATTGTGGGGCTGATATGGTGGAGCAGCCTTGACGATTGATTGCTCGTCGTTGCCTTGAGTACTGGTAGTGCTTTCATTGGTGGCGCCGCCGTCGTTCTCTGTACCCGCTGCCGTGGCGATGCTCCCACTAGCTTCGCTGGAGCTTCTTGGAGTCGCAAACCGAATACCACCCGCTCGGCTTTGGCAATCCACCAACCCAATCTCCTTGGCACTAGTGATCCAGTAATGAGTCTTTCCCCTTGACTTGTCATTCTCTCGCAGCAGAGTCCATTTGGACCGAATGTCTGGTGGAAGGTTCCGACATTTGCGCAAGTGGCAACGTTGCCACGATGTGACCAATCGATAAATCTCAGCAATGGACTTTGGATAAAAGACTGCCATGGGAGCTTCGTCAACGCGTGGGTGGTGTGGATTGCCATGTGCGTCATCTGCCGTGGTAGAAACGGCATGCCTTTGCCTGACCATGGCACAGAAGACGCAGCGCAACCCAACGCGTCCTACGGAAGAACCAGGAGAATGGGTGGGACTCTTGTTGGCGGACTTTTGCACAACAAAAATCTCGAGCAATTCCGATCTTAAGAAGCAATGCAGGGAATTGAGTTTGGCTTCATCGTTCGGCAGAGCCAGCCGAGTCGGGAAATTCTTGGGTACTTCATGGTGCTGGACCTGAGGAGGCTTGGGTGGCGCTGACAACGAAGACGAGGAGGATGCCAAAGCCGGCACATCGTCATCTTCCAGATCGTCATGGTCTTGTTGGTCTGACATTGCGGCCTTCTTGGAGGTCTCGGACTGATCCCTTGAGGCTTGTTCTTCGAGAGTGGCCGCGGAAACTGTGGAAGGGCTGGCTGAAGTTCGGAGGGCCAACAACATGGAAGCAGCATCCATAGTGATATCGGGCCCCTTTTTGCCGCCCTCTTGCTTTTTCGGTGGATCTTGCGGCTGCTGTTCTTGCTGGTGGCTGTGACCTGGAGATGGAACCGATGGTCGTCCGTTCGGACCAACCATATGAAACTGATGATGGTGAGGTGGGTGATGATGGGGAATCGGCTTCATGTGATGAGCCCCCATTCGCTTTTGCTGCTCCATAGCTCTGAAACGCTCCATATTTTCGTTCATGTACGGATGATGCATGCCTCCATTTCGCACCTGTGGCATGGGTCTCTGCGCCATTGGATGATGCGGATGTTGGGGCAAGGGCATGATCATGTGTTTCTGAGGCATGTTCTGAAGCCTGGATTCACGCAAAGGACCCATTCCAGGGCCCGAGTTCCAAGCAGATGCCGCGTTGGAAAGAGGAGGCATCGGCTGGAGGTGCTGATTCCGCTCGTGGTCGCCCAAACTGCTTTCACTATCCGGAATGGAAGCAGGTGAGGGTCTCTGGGAGACTTCACCAGGGTGTTGCTCGTGCTGATGATGCTTATGGAACTGAGGAGGTGGGATGGGAGGAGGTGAAGGCGATCTGCTATGGGTATCATGAGATCCTTGTTGTTCGGGGGTATCTGGTTGTGAGGGATAATGCTGATGATGTTGACCCCGATTCTCGACTTCCATTCCCATATGATGCTCAGCCATTGACGGATGGTACCCATACATCTGATGGTGGGGATGATGATGTTCCTGCTGAAATCTCATCATGCCATGGTGGTGATGATGATGCATTGGGCGAGGATGTCCCTGCTGTGATGGATGCTGCTGCATCAGCGATCCTCCACCTCGCTGCTGTTGTTGATCAAACATCGGTCTTGGGCCACCGCCGCCAGCTTGTTGCGGAATTGGCCGCATTGCATTTGCAGGAGGAAGAGGAATTCGTCGAGACATCCCCGGAGAGGGAGCGTGGTGACGCGATGACATGTGATGACCGTGGTTGCCCGGAGCAGCAGGAATCTGGCGATGTCCACCACCACCCATAGGCATCGACTGAGGATGCTGAACTTGGTAACGTCCTCCTTGTGGGGGCATTCTAGGGTGTCCCATGCCTCCATGAGGTGGTGGAGCATGAGATCTGGGGGCTCCAGGGTGGACATGCCCAGCGTAAGGACCGCCCAAAGGAGGGGAATTTCGGTGATGGTACGTATGAGGCGACGAGGCTTCTCCAGTCATACCACCTCCTGCAGGAGGCATTCGCTGTCCCTGAGGGTGATAATGGCCTCCGCCAGGCTGTTGGCCTTGTTGTTGCCTCATCTGATGTCCATTAGGAGGTCCAAACCATGCAGGCGCCATCTTGTTGTTGGGTTATTTCGCTCAAATACCGGATCGAAATGGCAAATTTGGCGGTGTGTCGATCTCGACTATTTTGTGAGAATTGCACTGACAGCACAACTAACTAAGACAACTCCTTCGATAGCAAAAGACGATAAACTTGCTCTCTCGAACGATACCGGTGCTCTAGTACTATGATAGTACTCTCTTCGACGCCCAACACTTTGTTTTCTTCTTGTTACTCTTGAGGATGATTAGCAATAACACACAAGGATGAAGAGACATCTTCCACCGTAATAACAGAAACTCGACGCACTGGCCCGGCATAGTAAGTACTTAGCCTAATTACTTCAAACAACCTCTATTTCGAGATCGTGTTGTATAGACTCAAATTGATCTCGTTCGCGCAAGCCTCGATTTGGTTTCAAGCCGTTGCTTTCATCCTTCGTCCCAGCTTTTCTCTTTATATCTCCCGCGAGCGATGCCGCCACACGGTGATTAGAAGCGGCATCCCACATCGGGTTTCATTTACAGTTCCTTTCTTTTCTTTAGGACGTGTCCATGCCAATGCGAGGTAGAGCAGCTGTGCGACCTTATAGGTCAATCACTATTGTGTAGGTACCGGTGGTACCGGCGGTACCTGTGGATCCGGAGAGTTCCATCCAACCGAAGGCAAGACCTGCATTCCTCCACATTTTGTACCAGTTTCTCCAAGTTGGTACTGGTATCTTGCAAACACTGTCGGCCCCATCGCATGGAAATCACCCACATCAGCCTTTGCGGATGCAGTACCTGGTACATTTATCAAGGATGGAGCCAAGTAAACATGACACTGTGCGATAGTGAATGCCATAAAAGTAGTAGTATGTCCTAGTTTCTTTAGAATCGAATCCATAGTTTTGCTTTGAAAAACTTAACCGTGTTGTGGCATTGGTGGATACCATATCATATAGGTACCGGTACTAGCTAGGAAGAGGGAAGCAGCCGATCGTCATCCCAACCATAGAGAACATGCAGCAGAATAGAGTATGCACCAAACAACCAAAAAAGAATGGTCCAGCTACTTCTTCTTGCGGATTCTACCGTTTTTGTAACGAACACACCTGGGACCTTGCCATTGTCACCTTCTTCGGGCTCCTCCGTCCTGCTGAGTACCTAGACACCGCGACCCCTGAAGCCCGAAGCCAAGCCTTTTGCCTCCGCAACATCACCTTCACCGTCCGTGGAACCCTCCAAGTCCGAGGACCCTTCTGCCGCTGCTCTTCATGCCCACGACATCCTACCTCACTATGGACTTTGGTGGAACCGAGTAAACATGACACTGTACGATGGTGAATGCGGCTTTGGTGTGTGTTCATACACCAAAGCGAGAGTCCATAAAAGCAGGTCCTAGATTTTTATGCTTTGAAAAACTCAACAGCGTTGTGGGGGATTGGTTGAAACAGTAAGATGTTTTAGCTTGGAAGGCGGAAGCACCGATGGTCATCACAAATAAACCAAACATGCAGCAGAATAGAGTATGCACCAAACAAACACAAGAATGGTCCGACTACTTCTTCTTGCGGACTCTGCCGTTTTTGTAGACGCGTTCGCTGCCGTCTGGCAGGGTATCTACACCGTTGTATTCAAAGTCATTCTTGTAGGTGCCCTTGTAGACAGTCCCATCCTCCTTGAAGCAAGTTCCCTCTGCAAGAAGTAAGTGCAGATTGCAAATGAATTGTGGAGAAAGACCAAAAGCAGAAATGAGTGGATTGGGTGGCATCAACGCTTCACTTCCAGCAATACTAGTACATATTAGGACGTCCATTCCGTACCATTTCTCTCATTGTCCAGCCATTTGCCTTCATAGCAAGATCCGTCGGCAAAGGACATGTTGCCATACCCACTTCTCAAACCATCTTGGAATTCTCCGCAGTAGAGGGATCCGTCACTGAAGTAGTACTAAAATTTCCAACAAGTGAGCATACGGTATATTGCTGAGCTTTGCAAACATGAAGCAGCAACACCCGTACCATGGCATCTCCGTGCAAATTTCCCTTCTCGAATTCGCCCTTGCAATGACCTCCTCCTTTGAAATTGAGTTTTCCGTTTCCCTGGTAAATTGATCATACGTCAGGTGTACATTGTGTGATCACTTCCAGTGTAAAGGTCCGCATAAGCAAACGAGTGAAGTGCGCCTGTTCTTTTTACTCACATGCATTTTGTCGTTCTTCCACTGTCCTTCGTACTGCTCTCCATTCTCCACCTCCTTTTTGGACCTGACATTGTATTCGACAAGCTTCCCTCGACCATGCCTTTTGTCGTTTCTCCAATCGCCTTCATAGAACCATCCGTCCGGCCATACGCACTTGCCCTTGCCATGAGGTGCTCCTTTTTTAAAGTCGCCCTCATATACAGTTCCTCTCGCATGCTTCAGCTTACCCTTTCCATCAAACTTGCCACCGGCAAAGTTTCCAATGTAGATTGAGACATTTCCCCGCAAGTCTTCATCGTCATCTTCGTCTTCATATGTGTGTTCAAATCGTCCATAACCCACGCTCGAGGTACCTGTTTCAACAACCCCAATGTAGTCCAATCCATCATCATCCTGAATTGTCGCCATCTCGGATCCCCTTTCAGTAGAATTGTTGTTTTCCTGGGTAAGCCTTCGGTATCCGGGTGTGGCCACCCTCTTTGTGGGGGCCAAAGAAGTCCCGTTGTAGTGTTGTGGGCTTCCATCGTCCTCGTTCTCATTGTCGCCGTCTTGGTTGCCCAGTTTGCGTTTGGCCACACGCTTGCTGGTGGTGTTTGGTTCACCAATGTTGCTGTCAGCCATGTTGGCATTGGCATTGGCCACAGCCACAGTTGGCAGCTGATGCTGATTGGTACTGGAGGCAACGGAGCGTGACGGAGATATGGGCGTGGAAGTTGCAACATCGGGTCGTACCACAGATTCTTCTTGCGAGTTTTCAGCTGCATTCTGGATAGATCCGGCAACAGGTGTTGCTGTCATGTCGGCATCGTTGCTGTTGTTTCCTTGGATGACAGGGGTGAGCGCAGCGGTAACAGCTGCTGCCACGGCTGCTGCAATATCCCCACCATTTCGTACACTTGGACTGGAACTAGCAATTGCAGCTGCACTTGCTGCTGCCGCCATGGCGCCAATTCCAGCACTGTTTGCAGGGTAGCAATAGAGACATCTTCCTCCGTGCACCACGCCATCTACCGTCAAGGGCTCGGTACGGCGTTGCTTGGTTTCAGGATCATTGATGACAGTGCAAACTTGCGTACCACAAAGTGCACACTGGCCACACTCCAGACGAGCTTTGTGCAGGAAGTCGTCTGTGTTCTTGCTTCGTTTTGTTGACATGGATGCCATTGTCACCAAGTCACTAAATTGGCAGTAATGATCTGTTCGAATCTGGTCAATGCAAGAAGAAGTTCCGACAATACTACTAGCTAGTAGTACGAAGAGGTGCACGGCTTGGGTCGTTTCGGCGACAAAACATACTCCTTGAAATCCGTACATCCGTACTGTTGGCTTCCTTACTTACACCGTGGACGTCCACGCTGCGCAACTCTCCGAGGAAGTGGAGACGCACGGAAGCAATGTGTTTTCCTGCTTCTCCCCACAAAAGCCACAGTACTGGTACCGTGGCTGGCAACCGCACATACCGGTAATGCATCCATGTAGCTCCCTATGCACCATGGTACTACGGTACCGGTACGGTAATCTAAATGGTACGACGTACTCAGTAACAAAAAGAAGTGCTATCGGAGCTACTCCGTTACCGGTAGCGGTAACAAGGGCCCTTGAAAAACCATTTCCTTGGTGAGAAAGATTATCTTCTGTTGCTACTACGGTACCTTACGGTACCGGTACCAGGTAGGGGATTCTTGAAATCTGGGTGGCCTCGTGATACGGGTAGCCATGGAATGAAGCTACTAGTACTTGCTCAGCTAACGCAATTTGGGAAAATCCAAATAAATGGGCTCACGAGAACGATGCGAAACATTCCATGGGCAGCTTCAACTAGCTAGGTTTCCGACTTGACTCTCCCAATAATGAATTGGTTTTGTCTTTGCGGAATTACTTCCAGTACTCCTAAAACGCATGATTAAAAAAACTCTAGAGGGGCCCATTGATCACTGTTTCACGTGTTAATGGACCCAGACCGTGGCGCCCATTGATGATGCAAAGTGATCACGGGTGGATCCATTCAAGAAATAAATGGTCTGGGTTGGTCGGCCACTGGGTGTTTCTTTGTCAGTTACATGGTGGATTGTTGCGTGGTGTTTTGAAGTGGGAGTGACTTGAATAATCCCATAGAATCCCCAAATAATGCAACATCCAAATGATCAGAGATGGATGGAATCCCAAATACACAGTTTTGGTTGGCAACCTTGATGGAGCTGGATCCAAAACTTCCGATGTTCCGACGCAATCTCTCGAAGTTTGGCTCTTGTGTGATGAAAGAATGATTCGATTCCATCATTCCCAATCTTTGAGTGCTGTCAATTTGGATCTCCACAAATAATTTCTCCTCCTGATTCTGCAATTAACGCTCTTGACAACATCCACTTTCTTCCCAAAGATTCAAGAAATTTTCTCTTTTGGTTGCAACAGTTGGCAAACTGAAGTTTCTTCTGAGTACCGTAGGCCCCAAACAAGAAGTCTTGGAACAAATACCGATTGGAGCTAGCAGGGCCATTTCTGGAGACACTGTGAGCCTTCCTTGCTTCTGGTGAGAGCAGATACTGGTGGATGGTTCCTTCACATCCCCAGTTGAGAATATAGGCATCACAACTGTTCTTTCTGCGGGAGGCAAACCAGCGAGGGATCCTAGCTAGAGCCAGAATCGAGCTTCTACCTTTCGCGGCAGCAAACCGCACTCTGACTAGACCATTGGTACAAGTCCAACAGTCTGGTTCATCCTTCTGATATCGTCCAGGGCTTCCAAAGCTCCATCTCCTCTCCTGTGTGCTCTGGCTCTCCTATCTGGTCGTTGTGATCGTTAGTTGGGTTTTGCAGTGCTTTCAGTGAGTAGAAGTGCCGTAGAACGGGTTCTGAGCCAGCCTTTTTCTCTTTCGGACGGGTGTCGCAGTCTTCGGGAGGCTCTGCTGCAGCACCATGACCGACGCTACGTCCAAGCTGGATCTCTGCGTCCGCTCCTTGAAATCACTCTCAAGAAACCTCTCAACCAAGTCACCATCTCATGTTGCCGACCTCTACTCGGCTACTGTTGGCCTCCTTTGCCATTTGAAGGTCGATCAGACGACGTTGCATGCCGCATGGTAAGATCGATATCTTTTTGAATAGGAAATTCTTCCTTGGAATAGAAAAATTAAATCCTATTTGGATCCAGCCATTTTGGAGCATTTCCGAGAGCCGCAGCGCAGCATCCAAAATCGATCTCGACTTTGAGTGTGCAAGACAATTGTCGAGTAATATTGATCCAATCCACTTGGTATGTGTTGTCATATTCACAAACTCACCCATTGGCTTGCCCGTTTATTTTCGAACGTCGTCTTAGGCATGAAAATCCAGAAGCACCATGCCCGTCCCCGAAACAAATCCCGGCAATCACAGCCGTCATGCAAGATCCCGCTCTATTTGATGCCCTCGTTGGTTGTCTGAAAGCTTCGGGTACTGGCATCGCGTCTGGGGGAGACAATGATGGTGGAAGCCGTCTTGGTCATCACCATCATGGCGCCGGAAGCATCCTTTTGAACAGTCGAAAAAGAGCCAACTCTGTTTCGTCCGATGACATACTTTCCGCCAAAGTGATGAAACTTTCACATTCGCCTTTGCCATCCACGGCTTCTCGAATGTACCAACACAGAAACCAGGCTGCTGCTTCGGATGCTGGCGCCAACAGCGAGTACAGTCCCAAGTTCAACGTTCCCGTCGCGGCGGCTACGATCCTCTACCTGAGCTTTTCACATCTAGACCATTGGCCTGTGCCCTTGGTCAAAGCATATGCCGAAGATTGCTTTGGGCCCAGGCTTTGGGTGGACGATGAGAAATGCAAGCTTTTGGTAGAGAACTTGAGACTTGTTCACAAAGTTAAAAGTGATCCCGCCACGACTACTTCGACCGATGTCGACATGGAAGACGCGACCCTCGTGCAAGAGGCGTCCAAAGTCGCCGACTCCTACAGCAAGATTCTTGACTTTATCATCGAGGATGAGGCCGAAAATGACATGACCTCGCCCTCCCAACAGCAACCTCGCCGAGGTAGTTTGTCATCTGTGGCGTCGTCGCAAGGGCCCTCCACCACCACCGGTACAAGCACGAATAATAATAGCAATAGTTCCTTTCGAAGGTCGAATTCTCGAGATGAAACAGAGTCGACTGGCGGTGAGCAAAAGAAGACCAAGAAGAAACTGACCAAAGCCAAGGCAAAGGCAGCAAAAGCCAAAAAATCAAGTGGCGATGATGGCTCGTCGTCGTCGGGCGAAGAGGTCGAAGAAGTTATCGTGACGACCAAGTCCGGCGGGGACGACTCGGTGGCTCCGTCGCCAGCGAAGAAAGGATCCAAAGGCAGAGCAAGGTCTCCTGTCAGCCCTCGGATGGACGAGAGCCCGTCGCCTGCAAGGTCAAAGCGGCGGCTGTACCCTGTGGCGCAACAAAAACTAAATCTGGAGCGCGTGAGGGGGCGATTCTTTGGTGTAAACCGACAACAGTCACATGGTGCTATAACCTCCGCACTGTCAGAAAGGCTTGATGCCAAAGCAAAGCAGAACTCTGCCCTCCTTCAAGCACTACATTTGTTTACGGGGGTCGCTGGTGTGAGGAGCCTTGTAGCAGGAAACCTGGAAAAGTGGTTGCAGTCGCCTGGTCTCTCCGGCCTGGCCCGGACACTGTTCACCTCCACCGTGAAGCAGATCGAGAACGTCGACCCACCCAAAAAAGCAGATCTCGAAGCAATCCATAAAGTGCTTGATATGCGTCTAAAAACCAACCAGGTAAGTGCACGGATAAAGTACCTTCTCGTTGTAATGTGATGTGAATTCAGCCACCAGTTGCTCATCGTGCTTGCGTCCTTCTTGCCTGCCCTCAGCTTTCCGCGCATGTCGAAAACATCACTGCAATGGCATCAACCGTCAAGTCAGGGACCGTCGCGCGCCAAATGTACCACCAGCTGCTGTCGGAAGTGCTGTCGACCATGGAAAGAGGAGCTGACGGGTCTGGCTCTGATCGTCTCAAAATGGTGGGAGCAGTTTACTCGGCGGTACCAAAGGATCTTTCTGCCGATGGGATTGCTGCTTCTCTGTTGATGATAATGGGCAAATCCAAGGGGGCCGGTTTGGATCGGACGAAGGCAGAGCGCAAGCAGCGCGCGAAGCACCTGAAACATCTGCTGCAACTCATAGCAAAGCAGCTTGGAGCATCGTTTGATATATGCAAACTGATTGAAGCATTTCTTTCGTACAATGTGAAAGACGCTTCATGGTCTGTTGAAGATGAAGAAGATCGAGCACGTGTCATGTTCCAATGTGTCCTTCTGCTGGTTCCGCCATTGCCAAAAGAGAGCAGTAGACATCCAACAAAGACGAATCGCAAAGGGGTGGCATTATCGGACACGGAAGCTCAAACTCTGAAGAAAAAGTTGACAACGGCTCGCCAGCTCATTTTGACTTGGTTCTGTTCGGACTACGGGCCTTTGTTTGGGACTGGAACGAACGTGTCTAGTGATGGGAAGGTGGGAGCAGGCTTTCCGGACTATCGAAGCGCCCTCGGAGGGGTCGATGGCAAGACGGGTAGGCCCAGATGGCTGAACACTGCTCGGTGTCTCCTGTTCATGGAAAATGGAGAATCCAAAGTAATGCAAAAGTTCCTTCGTGGATCCGATGCGATTGAAGAGAATGATGTTTCTTGGTATGATGAAAGGCAACGGATCAACAGATGTTTCGAATATGGCTGTGATTTCGACGATGCGATGATGTGGATCGTTTTGAAGTCAGCATCACTCGAAGATGGTGGAATAAGCTCGCAGATTGCTTTGACTCTCTTGGAGCACTTGTTTGAATGTTGCAGCGTCCAACGCCGCGGCTCGCTCAACATTACTGACATGATGTTGGCATGGGAAATGTACTCCCTGGTGGTCTACGAGCCACCGGAGACAGTCACCATTCGACGCGAAACCACTGGAGCAGCCAGGGATGCACCCGGATCCAAGTTTGATGATGCAGAAGACATGAACGGCGACAATTCGAAGCAGGATGGATTGGTAGTCGTGTCGACTGGAGACCTTGATTTACCTCAGTAAGTTTTGTTTTGAAACGATTGGATGCCCAGAAACTATGGAAATGCTGGTCTGACCTCTTTGAAGGCTTGCATACCCGGGAATGTGGTGGCGCGTGACCATTTTAGCGCTAGTGATGTGTGGAGTTGCGCCACAGCAGATTGGAGCTACAATTTGGGAGGAGCACCCAACATTGAGAGCTATGATCAAGATGGTTATATCTTCTCGCTATCGTTTTCCTACAGTTGACTGCGACGAAAATGATAGAACGGACATGAAGAAACAAGAGCAGCAAATGAGGGATGAGGTAAGAAATTGCATGCTGGTCTATTCTCCCCACTTATTGCCAGCTAGCTAGAGGCTAACACCAGCGAATCACATTCACCCGCAAAAGGAGTCCAGAATTGCTGAAGCACTTTTTCTTCCTCCGCGGCCCGTGACAAGCAAGGACCCCGAGACCAACAAAGAAAGTCACGGTAGGTCAAGAATATCGGCGAGACAGCAACAGAAACGCGAACGAGCCCTGAAGAAAAAGCGTGAGAAAGAGGCCGCAGAAGCTTTGATGGGTATGTCAGCGCCGTTCTATCTTCTATTTGCTTCGTTTGCAGTCCATTCACCTCATCTTGCGATTCTTTCTGCTGCTGCACAGAGGAGAATAAGCGGAAGAAACAATTACGTGCCGCGCAGAAAACAATCATCTTGTGGGACCCTACGAGCACTGCACGCAAGCCCCCGCGAGAAGCCGCTGAGCTTCTGGTGTCAGTGGAGTCTCATTTTGCGCTCTCAAAGATCTTTCAACAATCCGTCGAACCTGATTTTCTTCTCATGACGATTGGCAAGACCACTCGCGGAGCCATCGAACGTGCATATGACTGGTTAATTCCTATCATCTCTACGATGCCGAAAACAATCGCCCGCCTTCACGCAAGCGCATCATGCGTGTTGTTGCTTCGTGCCTACGGGACAGAGGGCGACGAGAGAGCACAACTCAAACAGTTGTCTGCACCCCTACTGCATCACGTAAACGAGTCGCTCACAGGTCGATTCGGCCAGGCGGATGCTTCAAGAGCCTTCGATTTGCTGATGTCAGACGTGGCGAGTAGTAATCCTGACCGTCGTCGATGCGCAAGGAGGGTCCTCTTTGATTCGATCGGGCAGCTGGATTCAACCAGTGGCGAAAAACGGTCTTCGTGGATGTTGAATATTCTGAAGTTAGACCATGCTGCTATCCTTGTAGGAGATGCAATCAAGCATATGGTAAGTGATTGAAGCTGTGAATCGAATCAAATCAAGGCGGTTTCAGATTAGTTGCTAAAACTGGTGTACCTGGTAGTCGACGGCGATTGTGTTTGAACGAGGGGAAGTGCTGCGGAACTTGCTTCTGGCTTTGGATGAATTAATCGCATTTGCAAAGAAAAACGAGATCGAGGGAAACTGGGACTTTGCGTCGGTCTTCATTTTGCTGATATCGAGACGTCCGAGTGTTTGTGCGGAGGCTTTGGACAGATTTAGTGAGATTCGGACCCTTGGTGTGAAGACAGTTTACGAAGCATTCCAGAAGTGTATCAAAGCCTCGTCAGATGTCGAAAGCGGGAATGACATTGCCATCACGCTTTGCGGCGAGCCTAAGACGGACACAATGCTTTCCCTCCCCCTGCTTCAGGCAGCTTCGGTGCTGCTGAGTATTTGGAAAGAAACAAATGGTGCAGCCACGAAAGAAGAGGATGGTGCCAACGCAAGCAGTAGCTCCAAGGAAGACGAATCAGAGGCAGCTGGGTTTGTATCAAGTCTCATGAACATGTTGCTTCGCCCGATCGACACAGGCGAAAGCTCGCAAGGGCCCAGTGATAGTTCCGAGGAAGGTCTCGCAAGCGCCAAAATTATGGAGTCGGGGTCAAGCGCAGTATCGGTAGAATCGGTAAGTTCCAGAAGACTCTGGTGTATGTATTCAGGCCATTGGATTCTCACCGTTGGTTGCAGTGGATCATGCTTGCGAAAGCAAGGAGCGACACAATTGCCAGGCGAGCTGCGCTTACCGCCCCGACTGGTTTTTTGCCCCGCTTGCTTCTTTGCTCGGGGCTCCCTAGGGCTTCTCTCTTGACAATGCTTGATAGGCTCGGAAAGCTGGGCGACGCGTCCAACGAGAAGAAGGCCGTGTTTCATCGACTGTTGATCCCATCGGCCACCAGCGAATGGGACATTGGGAGACTTGGCCAACGCCGAGAAGTGGCAAGGAAGTTGCTTGGTCGATTGTCCGCCTACCTTAGATTGAACAACATTGAAATCGACAACTCGGGAATCTCAACATCTTTTCTGGATTGGTTGTCAGAAGAGTGTTCAAGCAACGAAAAACCAAAAAAGAAACAGAAGCACAAGTCCAAAACCGCAACAACAGGGATGCTATTGGGAGCCTCGTCTCTCCTGCAATCGATGAGTGGGCCCGACTATGTTCAAGCCACCGACTTTTCGGCTGGCGACGAAGTAGACTTCGACTTGGAGAACTTCCGAACGTGGGATGAACCAGGAGGGGGCGGAGATATCAAGGGTGCGGCTGCAAAGGGCAAGCTCAAAAAGGCATTCGAGAACAATCGGCCCGACCTGTTGGAGCTGGTGTTCCGAGAGCAAGCGGCGTCGCAGCAAGCAGAGAAGAAGCCAAATCTCGTTCTGGCAATCGTGGGACTGCAAACCTTTCTCAGTCTCGAACACCAGCAAGATGCTGTGAAAAGGATCGTTTTGAACTATGTTCCAAAGCTGTCGAGTTTGTCCGGATCGCCAGAGTTGTGGAAAACGATCTTTTCGATTCAAGAAGGAGTGGCTAGCGAGATGCTGGACGCCCTCCTCTCTCGATGCATGGCATCATGGTGTGTCGATCACATTAGTGCTTGCTGCGATTGGTTGTTGACCATGAGCAAGAGCATGGACAGATCGAAGCATTGCATGAGGCGGATTACACGGTTCTTTGTTCTCAGTTCCGGTCAAATGTCTGTGCATCTGGAAAGGTTTGCCTCCAAGGTCCCGGTGAGATGTGTCAAGAATTGGGGGAAGTCAGAAGATTTTGTCGCGGCATGCACATCTATTGCAGTCGAAGGCATGAAGCAGGCTACTGAGGCGGGCTTTAATTCCAGCCTTGTGAGTCGCAACTACCTGCCGGATTGGCTGGTTTTGATGGTTGCATTGGCAAAATGTGGACGAATGCAGATGAAGCATATATGTGAATCGATTCTGCAACGTATATCCAAGCCCAATGAACAAATCAGTCTCCCTCTGTTACGGGCAGTTTTTCTGAGACTATACGTTTGCAACCCACATGGAATGAACTTGGGAACAGCGCTGATAAGGTCCGTCTTGATGGAGGCTGCACAAGAGTATTCCGTCTCTTGGGTGGATTGGCGTTCTCCTTTAGATGACCAACTTCAGGACATGCTGGACACGGTGATGAATGGTTCTGGCCAGCGGTTGGTACGACCCCTCTCTGACTTGTCGAAGAAGCACCCATTGTTGATCTTGAGAAAGTGCCATGTTATGACACGGTTTCTTCAGAAAGATGCTGAAGTTGGCTCCCTTGGATCTTCGAATCGAGAACCTCGAGGTGTGATCCACAGCCAAAACTTGAAGCCTCTCCAGGCAGTTCTATCTGGGAAATCAGTCAAAGTGGACGTGAAGCATTGGGGTTATAGCTACAGTGAAAAGATTTGGATCGCGCTGTTGGACATATTGTGTGCTGGTACGATGGGTCGTGTCGTTCATTGTAAAAATCAGATGTCGCAACCATTGTAATCTCACAACTTCTGATGTATCTCCTTTTATATCCCAAAGTGCCAGGTCCTGTCCTGTTTGGTTGTGGCCTCAACATGGGTTTTCTTGACTTTCTCCATGCCAATATGCGGCTTTTGTTTGTTCAGTCTCAACTTCGAAGGACTGAACATTCAAACAGGCTCAAAGACAAACTAAAGGAGGCTCTAGGCACATTCCGTAAGAGCAACCGCTCTGGATGGGAAAAGTGGCTGGTGTCGAAGGATCATGGACTTCCCTCTCTTGGCGAACTGAAAAATGTCCTGATTTGTTGCGACTTGGTCGAAGCCAAAGAATTAGTCAAAACTTAATCATCCTGCTAGAGTAAAGTTTTTTATAAGCACACTGCGCGTTGTGTTCAAACAACAATGCCATTTTGAAACAGTGCCGTGATAACATCGGAGCACTCCTCGAAAGTATGAGCGTTAGGATTAGGGAAGGGACAGTCATCGTTGGCGCAAGCGATGTTCAAATACGCGGTGGGATCGTCCGGCTCCGCCTGCCCCAAGAGTTCTTCTGAGGAGCAACGGAGTGATGAGTTTCATGTTGGTACTATGACAGTTTTTAATAGTTGTCTTTGTGCTTGTTAGTTTTGTGAGCTAACATGGATGATGAATCATTGATGATCTCGATCGAGGAGTGCGGCGGAGGCGTTCTGCCAACCATGATTCCGAGCCGGCGCGAGCTCAGTCCACTTCTACTGTACTTGCTAGCTACCGGTAGCTCTACTAGTACCGGTACGGCGAGGTGAACAGTGTGAAGCATCTACAGTATGTACGGGCACCCTTCAAAAAATACCAGTAGCTACCGGACAGCTAATGGCGAGCACGTAAGTAAAACAAAGCCGTTTGGGCAGATGCGACTGGTCACCCGAGAATGGCACTGGTTGATGGTATCGATACATGTACCGTATGGGTAGCTAAAGAGGGCCAAGCCCAAACAACGTCGGTGGCTACCTAGCTAGATCGATGCCCAAGCCCAAACCAAGCCGAGCTGGCTGATAGGTAGCAAGATAATGTCAAGTTAAAAATGTGTCTATATCTCTATTTGTTATACATTACTGTAGTAAGTTTGCTTGGGATGTTGTTATGATGATGTCTTGGTCGGTCCCTGCTCCCAAGAGCGACCGACGGAAAATGAACGGGTAGCTGGCTAGCTTTTGCTTTTGTTTGCTTTTTGGTCACACGATTTCAATGCAGTTTGGTGCTGACGAAGATGACGATGTGGAATGGTTGCTGCTGGAGCTGAGAGCATTCTTGAGTTGGTTCAACAACATGTCGTTCTGTTGCAGTTCCACGATACTGTTTCGAGCTTCCATGGAATCGACATGAAGAGGTTCCAGATCCGCATCATCCCAACTGAAGGCATCCGTTGTTGTTAAAGATGAAGTGATTTTTGTCTTGTTGCATGCAATGGGTGTGGTGGGACAGGTGCTAGCAGTATCCGAGCGTGAAGATATCGTCGATGAATTGGAGACGGTTCGTGCGGGGGTTCCCTTCTTGGCAGAAGCTGTAGCGGTATTCTTGAGAAAGGATGTCAAGTCCGCGCTGGTGCCGCTGCTGTGGTGCTTGGGTTTCACTTTTTTGTTCTTTGGGTGCATGGTGGATGTAGCATCTCGAATGGCATGGCCAACCTTCTCTTTGGCTTGGCGCTCATCCAGTTCATACCAGCGCCCAGTGTAGCGATCTTGCTTCAGGAAGCGACCCTTGACTTTCTTGACTTGTTCCACAATGGCGTGTACCACCATACTCTTTTCTAAGCGGGACTTGGCGCTATTGTACTTGTCAGTCGAGGCAGCAATCAAGTCTCGAAATCGGCGGTTGCCAACTGAAGGAGCAAGCAAAAGAGTAACAAGATGAGGTGAGAGGCATGTTCAGCACCAATGATACCCACAATATATCTCTAGCCAGCCTAATAAGCTACTCACCATGGTTGAAACTGGTCTTGCCGCGTCCGCACAGAACATCCGTGGGCTCTATGTCAGTGCCAAAGGGCTCGATATCTGGAACGTGGTGGCCAAGACCAAAGGCCGGGACTGTGGCTTTCGATTGATCCAGAGAATCATACATCATCGTGGGTCGGCCATATTCGATGCTATGGCTAAATGGGTTGAAATTCATATTCATCTTGGCGGCTGCGGGTAAGTTATTGTGTATTTCTTTGGTGACAGTGATAGATGCGCTGCAGTGATTGCGACTTTTTGTGGTGGCGTCTTTGGTGGTTGGAAATTGTGAGCAACTCCCGGGCAAATCATCCAAACAACAAGTAAATGCCGGACATTGCCAGTAGTCGTAAGGTATCTTGGCGTCCACGAGAATTTAACTAAGCCCTGCCCGCATCGTCTTGGACAGCTTCACGTTTTTTGGTTTTAGTCATTACTGAAAACAACTGGGTTGTACGTTTTAGCATACGGTTTCCACATCATTTGGCTTCTGATTTCTGATGATATTACAATAAAAAGATTTACTCTCGAGTAAACTAAGGTTTGCTCAAGGTTATATCCTTTACCAAACTGAAAATGCCAAATGGAACCAATAGGTGTGTGAGCTTTCATTGAAGGCTTAATTAACTTTGTCTTGGATCCCATAAGTCATTGTTGTATCTTGGGCATTATGTGCGTCGTAATGATGTCTGTAATGTGCCTGACAAGAAGAAGGAGAAGATGAAAAGTTAAATAGAAAGACTTTAAGTCTGCAACGAAACGCTTCAGTTTGCTGGATCATTATGAAGTTAAATCATCTAAAGAGACATTGTGCCATCAATCCAAGAAGCTTCGCCTTTGCTGTCAAGGATCCAGTTAGAGTGTTAGAGACGGCAAGAAGAAGAGTTGCCCAACTTTCCCTGCCTCCACAGCCTCATTATTTCCCAACAAAACCGTTTGTTGGTGCCGCCTGGACCTGATGAATGCGGTAATGAAGCTGTAATGGCCACCAAGCCTTGTTTTTTGGTTTGTAATGGTCAAAGAGCATGAGCATGAGCATGAGCATTTTTGGAGAAACCTTCCCGGGCTCCTCCACAATAATAGGACAGAGCAGGATTGACCGTATCTTCCCCGTATCTTCCCCGCAGAGTTGTCTATTGTTTTGCAGGTCCAGCTTCGAGATCGGCTGGGGTCTGCAGTCAATTGACTAAGGCACAGAAAACCACATCTTCCCTTGCGCACTGTGGATTGTTGACTGCCTCGGGATGTCGCCAACGATAGCTCGTGGTTGCTTGGCTTTCGTTGGTAAGCTGGAGAGTCGAAGCAGCTATGTTTCTCATGTTCGAGGATGTTTCAATCCCAAAGACGAAACGGCCACAAAGGCCAAAGCAACTACCTTTGCTGGTCGAAATGGACTCACAAAATAAATGTAGCCTGCACTTGGTCCTTTTCGGAAAGCCTAGCAAACACAGCCTTCCTGTCCTGTCGGTTCACACGCTCGCCTCGACGGCAACCCAGCATTAGAAGCAAAGGAATATTCAACCAAGTGGAGTCAGGAGGGGTGCGACCAACCTTGGATCCTCCCCTGGCTGAGCGGAGAATGGGCTGGAAATGGCCTCCGTACCAGCCACGGAGGGCGCCGCTGGCTGGCTACTAGCTATGTAGCTGGCTACTGGCTAGCTAGCTGCTAGCTAGCGCAGCCGACGTTCTTCACAAGAGCACTCCAGAACGGATTTAGGAACGCTTGGAAACTAGCCGACGGCGTTCCTTTCCGATCCAGCACTGCACCGCATCCACCGCACGACTTGACTATTCAATCATTCATTTGCACGCAGGTCTAATAAGCCTCATCAGGCAGAGCAGCAACCAGGTTCGCTGATGGCAGACAGTGGTGGTAAGTGGCAAGCTGCTTCGCCGACGGCAGGTGGTGGCAGAGCTAGGCTGTATTTCCCTACCGCACGACAGTTACTACCAATACATTTATACAATCTATATGAGTTCGTTACTTAGTCTATGCGTGTCGTAAAAGTGCCTCGTTCCGGGGGCCATAGGTGTCTTGGCTTTTGGTTGGGACAGCCAATGCCCTTTTGAAGATTCCGCCATGGCTTTCATCCTGTCCGTGACGTGTTGCTTCTCGATGATGATCCTTGATCCGTTTTGTTACTGGTACAATGGTTCCCAGTCCTGCCTGAAGCTTGCTTTGGTGGAAGATTGGAAGATTCTTTCTGGTTGGGAGGTCGCAGCTGGAAGATTTGGAAGTTTCTTTCTGGTTGGGAGGTCGCAGCTTTGGGCAGGGTTCGGTCGTCCGGGCATCGCTTTTGCAGCTGCTCAGGACGATATACTTGGCAGCAGTGGGAAGCCTCACGTTTCCCGTCCAAGGTTGTCCAAAAAGTCCCTAAGAGGATCCCTTGTCTCCTGCGGAGGAATTGGCCCCAGTACCTCATTAATGTGCCTTACAAAGGGATCATCTTCTGGATCCACAACATCGTTGAAGTCTTCATCCTCCAGCTTGCCTTCAGACAAGGTCCCGTAGAAGATGTCGTCATCCTCGAATCTGTTAGTGGGGGATAATCTACTAGACACTCCCCTGCCAACGCTGGGCACTCCTCCAGGCAGAGAAGCTCGGCCCCTTTCCTCTAGGAACGAATAGGTGCTGCTCTTCTTTCTCTGTTCCTTCTGCTTGCGTGCCTCAATTAGGTTGGCTGCATCGCGGATGGCATGCCCAACCTTGTCACGGCAGCTCTTTGTGTCTAGTTCTAAAGTTCAGAAAGCCAATGCCACTGTGAGATATTGTGCCAGTGCAGCCAGCAGTAAGATGGCTTAGATGATGTTTGCAAGCACTTACCAACCCACTGTCCAGTGGATCTCTCCTTCTTGAGGAAGCGACCGCCTCCTCCTTTGATGTTCTCGACAATGCGCTGCACAACGCGAGACTTTGCAAGCCTGGACTCAGAGTTGTTGTATTCGTCAATGGCAGAAGTGACAGCATCGCGGAATCTCCTGTTGCCGGCTGATGGCAGCAATCAAATGATCGAAAGGAGGTGAGTCCGAGGTTCTCTTGGCAGCCATTATGCTATCTGTTGTCCAGAGCTGAACTTACCATGGGTGAAGGATGACTTGCCCCTTCCACACAGAACGTCGCTGGGGTTGATGGTAACATCAATGTTGGGTCGAAGTCTCTGTTCGTCAAATCTCCTGCTAAGGGAATCGGAATCCACCGGGTGTTGCGGAGCCTCGTTTCCATGGGGGTTCATGGCCATGACACAAATCATTGGGATGTTTGATCGATGAAAGCTTTGGCGTTCGCCTTGATTGCAAATTATGGATCGAAGAACTGATGTTGCGGTTGCTGTTGGCTCTTTTGTTTGGCAGATCTGTTCCAGATGTTGCTCTCGGATTTTGTGAGCTCTGGAAGTGTGAAACAGAGGAATGCTGTTGTATGAGCCAGTGTGGACAGACTCAAGACAACCGAGAACGACAATCTTGCTGATGTTGATTCGGGCTATCCTTTCAGATGCCATCCAAGGGTCCTACTAGATACTCCAGTGTGTGGGATCGCCTTGGTTTCGAAAAATAATGATGATGGAGCAATTGCCGAACGACGCCAGCATGGAGGAGGACACGGTAGCCACTGAGGTTGGGATGTTGGTATCTAACCAGTCCAGACCAGACAGGACCCTACAACAGTGGGATTATTTAACAGTACTTTTCCTTGCGTCTTGGGCTTATTTACTGGGTTTAATGAGCTGTTGTCTTTGGCCTCCAGTCAATTAGTGCTATGGACAGTCATTCTCTTGATCTAACTCTCTCCAGGTGTAAAAGACTATGAATCAGGGCCCAAGATAAGATTTTGTTGTGGACAAAATGAAGGGGCTTACTTCTACCATCAACGAATCATTATCACAGACTTTCACAGGGGTGTACCGTAGCGTGAGCTACTAGTAGCGTGTCTTAGACATGCGGCGCTCAGCTAATTTATTTACTCACGCGGCGCGGTGAACTTAGAAACCACCAAGCCAACCCCCGATCGTCAAAGATCGATTCTCAGACTCCTTGAGTACTGCTCTGCAACACTGTAGACCCCACCGCAGCAAGATCCAGATAAAAGATAGAAGGCTAGAAGCTAGAAGGAAAGAGAGCCTAATCTAGTGAAAGGGTGTATAGAGGGGGAATATTGTGTTATATCATCTCGGTTGCTACTTTGGAGTAACGGTACCCTGAGCAATACTTTCTTGGGTACGTACTGTGTAAATTTGTGTACTGTACCACCGAGGAACCCCCAAGTTCTCCATTTTAGTACACCAATTCTAGAGTCATTAACAATTGAGACCTGTCATGAACAGCTAGAAGGCGCCCTAGACATGTTAAAACATCGGATTAGAGATCATGGTTTTGTTTTTCACTAGATGGACCATCAAGATATGACTGTATGTAGTATGCTCAATGCTCAGGCAGTTCATGGTTTCGTAGCTTTTACTATAACAAAGGAGGGCAGTGTAGAACAGTAGAACATAACAGGCATTTTCAGAAAAGCCTGTAGTAGATGAAGGAGAGCTGAAGATCTGAAGATATCTTGAGCGTCTATCAGACATTAAAAACTCTCTTAAACAGGGGACGCTGGCACAGATTCAGTCACACACTCAAGAATCGTCCTCAGTCCATCTACTCCTCTCCTCATTGTGTTGTCAACGACACCATGATTAATGCAGTCGACTGTAGATCTCTGAAGCCATTTTTGGGCATTAGGAAACCCGCATCCATTCCGCAAGTCCGTTTGAACTTTGAATCGCCTTCGAGCTTCCAGAATACGTGGTAACTCTCGATCAATCGGCAACCAAGGCCGAGAGGACCCCGCGGACTGCCGATGAAGTATTTGTTAGTATTGTTTTCAGATGGCGGCAAAGCGGCAACTGAAGCATGATGGATCGTTCCGATCCTTGAAGAGCAGATTCCTTTCTGATCTATGCTTTCGCACATGTAGAAGCAAATAGCAACCGAGGGCAAAAGATCCGTTTGTGCTTTGGTACAGATGCTTCAACAGGTGGCAAGCAATACATGTAGGCAACCGTACCGGTACGTTTGGAGAAAATCCAACAACCATCGTTGGGGTGACCTGTAGTAGCTGAAGCAAAGTGGCAACCGATAATCACAATAGAGCTTTAGAAGCAAAAGGAGCGATGGAGGCAAGCAAACAGCCAGCATTGTCAGGTCCACCAATGCTCGTGAAGCTAATGGATGGCGCCGACTACGTGGTGCGCTAACAACATGCATTCCTACAATTCCCTCATTCCTACAAGTAGCTGGTAGATTCTTCTTTATGGTACCAAAGCACGCTTCAAGGGATCGACGCAAGGGAGAACTCAACACAGTTAATCCCGAAAGGCATATATTGAACTCTCTCAGTTAAAAGCCCCACCGTGTCGATAAGCTCCACACTCCACAGCATTCAGCGAAGCGTGTGTTGCCGGCGGTACCGGCGCGAGGTGTGGGGGCTGAAGGCGAAGCTCCTCGCTTCGGTTGCCAAAAATTCAGGAATCCCGTCTGTATTGATCAGTTGGCACCTCGCAACTGGAGGTGCTGCTAGCTAGTGGCGAGGGGTTTGTTTTGGCTCTGGATCAAACTATACGGTACCTGCTTAGGCCTAGCGATATCATTGGAGCGGAGGTTGGTCAGATGCATTGACTTCTGGCCGGAGTGTTTGCTCTCGTTTCGGCAACCGGCAAACGTGGTCAAGAAGGCCTTGGGGATTGCTGGATGCAGCCAGTTCGATCTATATAATAATAGTAATTACTAAATATTACTGCCGTAAACGTACTCGTACCACTAGCTAGAGTGAATGAAAGAGCGACTGGCTGGTGATATCCAGATGGCCTTTGTCGATGGTGTATGGCGTTTGGTGGATTAGAGAAGTGAAGCAGGATTCGATACATCTCTTCC